GGAGGATCCCCAACCGCTGATGTGCATGTCTCCGAGCTGACCGTGGCTTCATGGAGCCGTTTGACTCCTCCAGAGCAGTGCTGCACCAGGTGGACGGGGAAACAATCGCTATCGTGCTGGGCCAGGTGGTTTACATTTCCAACTTCATCGGGTCGGGCGGCGGCGGCGGGGAGGGGGGGGGGCGGGGCCGGGCACGCCGGTCAAGACTCAGTTACATTGATATGACTGAGCCTTTACTCAAAGTTAAGTCAAAAATCAGTACGAGGACAATCGGTCTAAATATACTTATAAACCGAGCTCGCGCGCAGCATGCACAAGCTGTGCGAGCTTGTGGTGGACGAGCTGGAGGATCTGGAGGAGGAGGCGAAGAGAGCCATATCGAACAAGCTCTTTCTCATCAGAACTGCCTCCTACGTGTGTGGCGCGGTGTGGCCCTTCATCAAGGCGATCAACAAGCTCGATGTGAGCGCCAGGGTTGACGGAGTGGAGAAGACAATCAGCGAGCTCTATGTCACGCTGAGAGCCTTCAAGGGTCTTGTCACCAGGAGAGGAAGTCAGATCACAGACGCAAGCCCTGGCAAGATCTTGGTGGAAGGTGGCCTGGTAAAGCTTGAGGCAGAGGTCAAGCATCTCAAGGAAATTCTGGAAGGTCACCTGTACTGCATCAAGGAGAACCCGGAGCTAGAGGCTGTAGGCTGTCGGGTGATCAATGCAGAAATAGGGGGGGCAGAAGATTTCAGCATTGGAGCTGTAGAGGAGCAGAGCAAGTGGCTCGATGCGCCATGGGCACTGGACCCCACTGAGTTCACAGTGATCAGGGAGATGAGCATTGTATCGGACGGGTTCTGGAAGATGTCGCATTTTCTTTACAAACGTGAGGTCAAAGTAGCCTTCAGGGTACTTGCAGATCAATCCCAAGTCATCTCGAGAGGGGCTGTCCTGAAGGAAGCTGACATGCAGTTCCGCTTGCTGCACCCCAACGTGGTCATGTTCATTGGAGTGACTTTGAAGCGCGAGGACAATGGGGAGCAGGTTTACATCTTCGTGATGGAGCCGTTTTCCGATACTTTGGGTCAGTATGTGGACAGTGGAGGCGTCACAAGCAGGAGGAACAAGCAGGAGATGGTACGTCAGATTGTAGAAGGACTAGCTTACCTCCACATCCAGTACCTGGTGCACGGTAGGATAGTTCCAGACAACATCGTTGTGGACAGCAGGGGAGTGCCCAAGTACACCAACTTTGATTTCGGTGACTTGGACATCGATGAACCTGAGCTCAACGACGAAGGCAAGGCCTGGGCTGCACCCGAGCGCCTGCAGGGCGGCCCCCCCACTACCACATCGGATGTTTTCTCGATGGGGCTGATCTCGGCGTATGTCCTGACATCACTTAGGCCCCCGAGAGAATCTGAAAATGTGATGCAGCACATGAAGATCCACTACGGTGATGATTTCCTCAGTGATCTGATCAAGCAGTGCGTCCTCCCGATCGCGTTGAAGCGGCCAGCAGCACCAGAGCTGGCCTGGACTCTAGGTTCGCACTGGAAATCGATGGATGACCACTCAGGTGAGTACTGAGATCGTAGCTTCTTTCTTTCTAATATTCTGCAGACACAGAGAGTGTGGAGAGCGAAGTAGAGACGGATCTTGTCCCGCGCTTTGCTGCTTCAATCCCGATCGAGCCGGTGGAGAGCCGACCAGCTGAAGGAAGCACGGCCATCGTACCAAGCAGCGAAGGGAAGAGTTCGGGGTCAAAGGAATTCACTACCATGGACCGTGTGGGAGATGCTGGAGGAATAGAAGCGATCGTCATGGCGATGGAGAATCACCCAATGCATGAGAAGATCCAGGAATCGGGATGTTCCACCATGGCCACATACGCTGTAAACGAGAACATGGTGCATAGGATCATAGCAACCAACGCCGTGGCCCTGATACTAATAGCGATTGATCGCTACCCTGATAATGAGCAAATCTTCGATAATGGCTGCAGAGCTCTCACGCTCTGTCTGAAAGTGACCTCGACGGTGGCTGAGAAGATTGCTAGGAACAAGGGAATCGAGAGAATTGTCGCCGGGCTGTTGAGATTTTCACACTCGCCAAGGCTGTTGGAGTCTTCTTGCGTCACCTTGGCCTGCTGCATCACACAGAAATCAAAATGTCTCACCAGGTTCATGGGATGCGACGCGATCGCGATATGCTTGCAGATCATGAGGAGGCATCGCGATGTTGTGGATTTGCAAATTGTTTGCACACATATACTGGCTGTGCTGGGGGAACATAAAAGCGACATTGCTCTACAAATCAGGAGAGCAGGAGGAATTCAACCTATATCACTTGCGATGGATAGATACATCAAAGATGCCAGAATGCAGGAGGCTGGATGCAAAGCGTTCTCGAGCTTGTCGCATGATTGCGCTGACACTATAGCAGAACTGGTGAAAAGTCGGAGAATTGATGCGGCTGTGTTGGCCATGAAGTTGCATAATACCGATGTGGCATTGCTTGACTATGCCGTAGGAGCTCTCCACAGCCTCGCGCACCATAATGTGGACCACGCAGGGATGATTGTTGAAGCAGGAGGAATCGCGCCCTTGATCCATTACCTAACAATCAGAACAGAGCATTCCTCGTTTCAAGTGAAGGGACTCAAGGTTCTGCGGTCAATTGCAGCAGTCAACCTTCAAGCAGCAGCTGAGATCTTCCATGCTAAGGGGATCGAGTGTATCGTCAAATCCCTGCGGACTTTCCCCGATAATACGCAGTTGGTGGATGTGGGCATGAAGCTTCTGTTTGGCTTTGTGTCCATGGAGCGCCAAGAGTTCGTGGATGCCATGGCGAGATCAGGAGCAGTACAGACCATCGTCACGGTGCTGAGGAACAAGAAAGCTGACGAAGCTCTCCGGAGGTTGTGCTGTCGAACCTTAGCATACATGTCAAGGGACAACAATGATGTGAAAAGTGAGATCAGGTCGCAGAATTTGACGGAAAATCTCGTGGCACCGCCAAGAGGGAAATACAAGAAGGGAGGAGGGGACGTGATAGAGATACTGATGAAGCACATTCAAGAGCTTGGCGACCCGACCATCGTGTGGCAGGATTGCAACTGGAGGGGGGGTCGCAAGACAATCAAAGTGGCAGAGCCTGTGAATCAGAATCAGAGTGAAAAGTTGGAAAAGTCGGACAAGTCAGAGCTGACAGACGACAAGATTGATGAGATCATGAAGATGCTCGAGCCAGCAGCGACTGAGAAGGGGGAGGGAAAGAAACGAAACAAGAAGAAGAAGACCAAGAAAGGGAGCAAAGACCTGGAGGACAACGACGACGATGATCAGGGGGAAGGAGGGGACGGGAAGTTGAGCGACGCAGGAGCCAAGTACCGATGGGACGATGACAAGGGAGGCGCCATCAGAAGCAACCACCCCAAGGACGATGGGGATGACATGTGCGTGATCTGCTTCGAAGCGTTGTCAACGCATGCGTACATCCCTTGCGGCCACCAGGCAGTGTGTGAGCTCTGCAGCGTCAAGTTTCCGAGCCCCTGCCCCATCTGCAACTGCAAGAGCATCATGTGCACAAGGATCTACAGGCAGGCGGTCTGAGGCTGCCGGAGGGATGCGGGCAGGGAGCGAAGGGATGCGGGCAGGGAGCGAAGGGATGCGGGCAGGGAGTCAAGGGATGCGGGCAGGGAGTGAAGGGATGCGGGCAGGGAGTGAAGGGATGCGGGCAGGGAGTGAAGGGATGCGGGCAGGGAGCGAAGGGATGCGGGCAGGGAGCGAAGGGATGCGGGCAGGGAGCGAAGGGATGCGGGCAGGGAGCGAAGGGATGCGGGCAGGGAGTGAAGGGATGCGGGCAGGGAGCGAAGGGATGCGGGCAGGGAGCGAAGGGATGCGGGCAGGGAGCGAAGGGATGCGGGCAGGGAGTGAAGGGATGCGGGCAGGGAGCGAAGGGATGCGGGCAGGGAGCGAAGGGATGCGGGCAGGGAGTGAAAGTCCACTTGATGGATGTGGACGATGAGTCGATTTGAAACATTTTAATCGTGAACAACCGGCGGGACAGCCGCTATGGCATCTCGCTGTTGACTTTGAACGTGACACCAGTGATTTGATTGAACGAACTGATTTCATCTGGTTTGAGGGCCTTGCGTACCGTTGAGATACTTTCAGTGACAGTTAATCGATCTTTTACTCATTCAGTCACGTTGAACATCAGTCGGTATCACTTAGAGCCAGTCAGGATAAGTAAGTGTCAGTCAGTCAGTTGGTCGGTCAGCGGCAGGCAAAGTCAGCCAGCTTGCCTGTCGTCGTGCCTCTTCTTCCTCTTCCTCCTCTTCCTCCACACCCGCCAACACCTCCACTACCATTACAGCCACCACCACCTCCACCTGCTGGCTCATATTCCTCCTTCTCCATCACCACCACTTCCTCCACCTCTTCCTCCACCTCTTCCTCTAGTTCCTCCTCCACCACCACCATCTTCTCCTTCACTCATCTCCATAGCCTTGAATTTCTCTTTCCTTCCTCCTGCAACTTGTCTCGATATCCTCCTCCTCCTCCTCCTCCTCCTCCTCCTCCTCCTCCTCCTTTTCTGCTGAAATTCTCCTCATCCACCACTTTTAATTGCTTCCTTCGTCTCTTGGTCCACTGATCATTGTGCCCCTAGGTTGATAGACCCCGATACTCCTTCTGCTCCTTCTGCTGGTGCTGGTGCTGGTGCTGGTGCTGGTGCTGGTGCTGGTGCTGCTTGTCTGACCTGATGTGAAAATTTCTCCAACAAAAATGCTGTTTGGCTGGTTGCTACAAACTCCAATATTTTTTTTCAATTGGAAAACAAAACTTTATTTTTAATTTTGAAATCTATGAATAATATTATAAAAAGGCTTTATCGAATTTTGAATGGTCTTGCTCTAAACGGTCAATTTTGCTACGTATACGGGATCGGACGGAAATGCGTGTGCGAGAGCTTGGAGGATGCATGGGATGTAGGAAGAAGGAGATGGTGGGGACGTCGAAGGCAGCAAGAGGAGAGAAGGGAAGGGAAGAGATGAGACGAGCAGGATTGGGATGGGAATGGAAGAACATGAAGTGAATGAGTGAGACGAAGAACGTGAAACTTGATGTGCAGGGTAAGACGACCGGGTACGGTTATGGCTATCATGGAAGTTGTTGGAGGAAAGATGCGGCAAGTCAAGTGTTTTGTGTCAAAACAAAAGGGCCATGGATGATTAATGGAAAACACAGCATAATTTGATGTTTTGTTGAGAAGGCTGAGGTTGTGCACCGTGGGTGTTTTCTGATAGTGCTTTGTTTGCAGTGCAAGTTGTGGTTCCACCATGGCGGAGGAAGGTCGGTCGCCAGCTGTAGACAGACACGTTCCAATGCCAGCGAGCGTCTTGCGCAGCAAGAAGAGTCGACGATCTTTCACTCCCGCCCAGACAAAGCAAGTTCTCCTACAGGTACGCTATCCCTCGCAATGCTCCTCGTCTCAACCCTTTCTTCAGGCCCTGGGTCCTTCCCCCAGCAGAGATCAACTGGCGCAGTTTGTGAGCACGCTGTCGGAGGAGGAGCGCATGCTATTCCTTGGAACTCCCTCCCCCTCTCCCGCAGCGAAGGCGGTCAGGTTCTCGCCCACCTCAAGCGCCTCCTCCGTTGAGAGCGGACGGAACAGCCGAGAAACTAGTCCTGAGGTAGAGGAGCGAGGTGAGGACGCCGTTTCTGCTCCTGGCACGCCCTACGACCGTCTGCGATGCTCGCCCTTCAGCATGACGCCTTCCAGTCGCTTCATCTCGCCCCGCGTTTTTCCCTCCATGTCTCCCTCCCTCCGATCTGCGGACCACAAGTTCTTTGAGAGCAGGAACTCCCCAATCCCCGCGGACTCGGTGGAAAACCTCAAGGAGGAGGTCGGCCGTCTCAAGTACTTGCTCTCTAAGTCGGAATCCACCTGCTCCAGGCTGCTGGACGAGAAGCGCTCCCTTTCTCGCGCCCTGGACAACGCCTGGACTATGTCCAACGAGCACAGGAATGGCTGTGCTGTATGAGTCTCGTGTGCCCCTGACATGCGATCCGCAGGCCGAAAGACGAGCAGCCGAAGGAGGGAGAGCGACGGGAGTCTCCGACGAGGGAATATGCATGCTCCCCTGACGTAGAGAAAAAGGAGAAGACTCTACTAGAGCTGCAGGAAGCGATCAAGGGTTCAAGCAGAGAGAAGTAATGGCGGGGATTGGAGGAGGGGAAGGCACGGAGGGACCTGAAAAGAGCGGGAGGAGGAGGAGGAGGAGGAGGAGGAAGAGGATGGGCTGGAGGACAAAAAGCTGCAGATTGAGAGGAGAAGACTGTTGAGAATCATGCTCACGTTCTCATGGCAGGGAGAAACTGAAGCAAGACCTTCAAGTCAGCCTGCAGGTTGAGGCAGAGCTGCGGGAGCAGGTGGGTTCGGCTGCAGAGTTACAATGGCTGACTTGTGAGGAGGTGGAGGCGAACGAGACCGAAATCTCACAGCTGAAGGCGGAGATTTCGAACCTGAAGAGGCAAAGAGAAAGGTGAGATGAGGAGGTGTAGTTGGAGGAAGAGGGGTAGCAGTAGTAGTGGCAGCGATACAAGAGGAGGAGGAGGAGGAAAGAGGGGAGGGAGGGAGGAAGTGGTGTTGGTGGAGAGGGAGTTGGGGTTGATGATGGTGGGGTTTAACCTGGGCTGCAGGGCAAGGGACGAGGTGGAGACAGAGAGAGAGCGAGCCAACAAGGCTGAGGAAGAAGTCGCAAGGTTGAAGCAAGACTTCAACAAGGTAGGAGGGAGAAGACCTTCGGGGTGACAGCGATCAAGGGATTGTGACACGAACTGCAGGGGAACAATGCTAGCGATGACCGAGTGCTCCAGCTTGTGGCAGACCTTGCTACAGCCAAGGTGAGGAGGAGGAGGAGGAGGAGGAGGAGGAGCCTGGAAGGAAGGGGGGGGGGGGGAGGAGGAGGGGCAGAGACAAGGGCAGGGGATGACATCGTTGACGACCCCCTTTCAGAGTCACATCAAGGAGCTGGAGGAGGAGCTGGAGACGCTGCGGGCCTCGGTTTCTGACTCTCACGACTCCTGCTTCTCCGCCTCCCCCATCGTGCCCTCCATCGCGTGCGGGGAGCTCATGAAGGTTAAGGAGGAGAACAGCTCGCAGCCAGCGACCGCGCGGTCGCTCGCAGTGACGGAGAGGGGCTCCTCTCCCATACCCGAGCTCGCCGCACAGAAAGGCAACCGAGCTGAGAAGGGCACGGACGGCTGGAGCAGGGACAAGGCAATCAAGGTCAACGAGTGGAAGGTGAACCTGGAGACCGTGGCTGCCGGCATGCACTCGAAGCTTGACCGATTCCCTCCTCATTCGCCCGACTGCAGCAACGAGACGGAGGAGGAGGGTGACAGTCGCTATGTCCTCCAATGGTTCTCCCCTTGCCCCGAAGGAAGCTCGGACGCGTCCCTCAGCGTCTCGGAGCAGGAGCACGAAGCTCTTCTCCATCCGTGGGGGCCTCCTCCTGTTCCCTGCTCCGTGGCCCGGTACAGGGACGGAAGCGATCAGGACCCGCCGCTTCTTGCCAGGGACTTCCCCAAGTTCAGGAGCGAGGAGGAGGAGGAGGAGGAGGAGGAATCTCACTGCCACTCGCCTTGCCCGAGCGACTCTGAAGGAGCAGCGAAGAAGAGCATGGCGGGCTTGTTCCGCTTTCACTCTGCAGACTTGATGGTGGAGAGGGAGTGGAACCTTGCAAAGCTTCTCTTCTCTGTGAGATGATAGTCTTGTTTGGGAAGGGACTGTGCTTGGAGGAATTGATTTGAAGGACTTGAGAGGATTCGGACTGACGTAACTTATTACTGCATGTTGATTGAAGAGGATTTCTAGTTCGTCAGCCCCGCCTCTCTCTCTTTCCAGCTTGACACAGGCTGGTCCCCAGCTGATAGCCCAGCTCCTTTCATGCCCAGTAGGTAGTCACCTCACTCCGCCGCGCCCGGAGCCGATGACGGTGGGGGCGGTAAGGAAAGGCAACACCTGGTCATCAAGTTATAAACCCGCCTCAGCCTCCATGTGCCACCCAGGAAAATGTCTAAATGTTCTGGTCAAAAGGACCCCTACTGCATCCGAAAGCTACGATGGCCTCCTCTGTGTGGACGGTGAAAGTCGCAGAGCCAGTCGCTAGGCAGTTTGTGTGTGGGTGAGTTATAGGGGAAGAAGAAGGAGGATGACGACAGGGTTGTGTTGGTTCTCGCTGCTGATGCTGCCAACTTGCGCTGGCTTCACATCTGCCTTAATCCATGTGAGTACAGACGTCATATCGCTACCCCCCTACCCCCCTCCTCCCTTTCTTCTTGCATACTGACAAACAGAAGGTACAGAACACTCCGATATCAGACGTTTACTCGGCGACAAGCCTCGTTCCTGGAGGAGGATGCGGACTCCGGGCATATCAGCATCGACCTCATGCCAGGATACAATTAAAATCTCAACTGCGGGACGGGCTGTGGAGGACAGAGGAGACTGAGGAGACTGCGATCAAGTACGTCTTCTCAGGGCCCAATGAAGAGCTCACTGTCAGCGAAACATCCTTCGAGCCAAGCGCCGACCTGCTGGAGAGGTACGGGGACGACGGGTCGCGCTCGACCTTCCGGAGGTTCATCTTTGAGGACGGGACTGAGGTATAGCCTGTCCAGGCAGTCCCCTGAGTGTCTCACCTGAACAATCTCTCATAGACATCGATTCGTGAGATGCAGTTTCACCACCTCGGCTACGGGCAGACAGGTCCTTTCCTTTCCTCGCGCTTGCGACTATGTCTCGTTTGTTCACCTCACCTCTCGCAGTCTGGGAATCAGCGATAGGACTGGCCGCATGGCTCAAGTCGCCTCGGAGGAAGGGGCTGTTCGAGAACCTCCGCGTGTTGGAAGTGGGATGCGGCTGTGGCTTACCAGGTGAGAGCAGGAGGAGAGCAGGAGGAGCTGAGGAGAGCGCGAGGAGAGGGAACGACAGTTGTAGGAAGACATATATCTCAGCGCAAGAGTGAGGAGGCGGCGGGGGCAGGGTGTCCACTTGAGGAGGAGAGGGAAACGAGGACTAGCGTACGCTGACGGATGATGACTCGTCAGGGCTGAGTGTGATACAGTCCTGCCCGAGCAAGGAGATGGTGTTCTCCGATTGGGATGGCGAGAGAGGGGAGGTGCAGCTGGAGGATCAGCTCGAAGGGATCCTTGGTAACCTGGCGTGCAACATCATGCTCAACAGTGCGAGGAGGGGAGGCGTGTCTGTGCGGAGGATCAACTGGTTCGACGCGCCGGGGGATCGCAGCAGGTGGGAGGAGTACGATGCTATCATAGGTTCAGACCTGCTGTATGAGGATGCGGCTGTGGTGCCCCTCCTGGAGACTGTGCGAAAGTCCTTGACGGAGGGTGGCAAGTTTTACCTGTTTGCCCCAGCGGCCAAGGAGCTGTCAAGGTAGCTTGCGATGTTTGCGCTTGGATCACTCACTCGAGTCCGATGCGGCAGGACCAACCATGTCGAGCGCCTGATCAGCATGATGAAGGAAATCGGTGACGTTGATGTCACTCCGTTCAGTCTGCAAGTGCGCGAGGCCAACGCACAAAACTTGCAAGAGGTGTCGTGGTCAAGATTATGTATTTCCCTGATCCATACCGCAGAATTTGGAGCTGCAGCTGGTCGTTTTTCAGAAGTCTTGAGAGGTCAAAGGGTTGGTTATGAATAGTATTCTTTTAAACGGTTGTGTTACAACCAAGAATTTCCGAGAAGGAGACAAATGGACAAACAAGACGATGCCAGCATGATTTCATTGCTTTTGTACATGAGCTTGCTATGGAACATATAGTTTCTGATCCCTCTGCTCTCTATCCCCTTCTCCTCTATCATCTATCCTCTCTCCCCTCCTCTCCCCTCCTCTCCCCTCCTCTCCCCTCCTCTTCTCCACTCTCGTCTCCTCTACGCATGTTGATGAGCAGCATCCAGTAAGTAGAGTTGTCGTCTTGACTCGAGATCATGACATCATGGGGGTGGGTGGTGTTCGCAAAGGGGTACTATTTAAAGATACCAATTCTTTAGAGGGTAGGGTAGTTAACCTAAAAAGAGATAGACTGGATATGTCTCAGGGTAGGGGTTGTCAAGGCGGACTTGAATGGCGGCGGCAGGTGAAGTTGGCGGGGCAAGGGGATGATGAGGAAGTAGAGAGGGGCGAAGACGACGAGAAGAGGGAGAGGGGGGGGAGAGGTGTAGTGGGAGAGAGAGGTAACCAGCATGGAGTTCGATGAGTGAGGTAGTATAGATGAAATTATGATTGATATGGAGAGAGTAAGAAAACCGAGATTTCAGCTGTTATCACCACCTGCTCTCCATCTACGATGTACTTTAACGGGTCGTTGGGTTTTGGATGGAGAGGAATGACATCTTTTTTCTACCTCCAGGCAGAGCTGTGGATCTGAAAGAAGATCGTTCGTCCAGGTGACCCTGAAAGTTTCTCTGCACGGGTTGAAATATTCGCAGGATCTCGGATGCATTACATTCCTTACAAGTGCTGCGATCTCAGCTTGAAAGCTCTTTCAGCAAGGCATCTCATACTCGTCCACCGTCTCAATATTGATCAGTTTGCAGGACAAAGCTAGTGACAGAACTTCGCTCGTGTTGCAAAAATCTGCAAACAGTCCTGGTACATACCTGCTCCGACCTTCAAAGCTGATCAGATCAAGCAGCAAGTCAAGGAAAAGAGAGGAAGGAGAGCAAAAAGAAACATTCAAAACGAAGATCATCAGTCAAGAAATTCTCATCTTCTCAAGACTCACAAGAGTCTTCAGAAGAATACGAGTGGCAACGAGCTGAGGAGGTAGAGGTACTGGGAGCCCGTGCTTGTCCTTCTCAACTCTCTCTGTTGATGCAGAGACGATCTCATCGTCGGGGCTCTGGCGTGCGGCGAAAATCTAGAGAAGCAGATTTGAGACAGAAACCAAGACACCGGGCCGCCTACTCGGACGATTCTGATTCTGACTTCCTTGCGAGCGGTTCGTCCTCGCCATCAGAGAGGCGGGGGAGCTCCTGGCGCGACCGCAGATCGAAATCGTCGTCGAGGAGGCCACAGCGTGCCGAACATGGTAAGTCAGTCGCAGTGCCGCAGCACCAATGCGCTGCTGAACTTGATTGTTGGTCCTAGATCCTTGGTCCAAGGCTGAACACAAAAGTTCCTCGGGTACATCCAATGTTTCTCACGTGTTTGTCACCTTGATATACGTTTGCTCCTCAGCTTCCCAACAGCACGACGGGAGTTTTTCGTTCCGAGAGCACGCCCTCCCTCGGACGGCCCCATTTCCAACTTTTCACCAGCGGAACTACCTGCTACCCCCGCAGGGTCAGGACCTCCCTTCCCCAGCAGAGTTTCTCAACGGGCGACTTCCGATGCTGCTGCAGGAGGGCTCGACGATGAACCGCCAGCAGAAGGAGGAGCGAGGAACGCAATGCGAGATGGAAGATATCGAGCCCAAGGGATCACTCAAGAACAGAAGTCACGACGACCAAGCGCTCTCACAGGCCAGTACGGAGAGCAAGGTCAAGGACTCACCGCGCGCTCATGGTTGTAGTCGGGATATCCGTCTCCTAGTAACGTCAGAGCAGGAGCGTCGTGCGCAGACAGCAGCGCGTCTGTAGCGTCGGAGCGCAGGGATCAGTCGATTTACTCGCAGGCAGCTCTGAAACTTCTGAGCTCTTCCTGTCTGACTCGCAGCTGGGGTGTAGGCGGGCAAGTTTGTGTTCAAGGAGTTGAGCCTGGAAGGGGAGATCTCTCAGCTAAAGCAGCATGTCCGGGAAAGAGACAGCCAGCTCATTCAGCTCCTGCAGGTCTTCGAGCAGATATCTTGCGGAATCCTTGACTTGTTCGTTTGCAGACTTTCCAACTCAAAGACCAAGAGTCGTCAGACTTGAAGAAGGAGATTCGAAGATTGCAGGTTGCTGTTCCTGCTGCGTCCCCTCCCCTTGACGTGCGAGAAGGAGAACATGGTGTCTCTCGAGATCGACCTGGAGAAAGAGAAGGTCTCCTCCTCCCTTCGCAGCATCAGCTCGCTGAGATGATCGTCAGGAGGACAGGAAAGAGGTGCAGACGCTTTTGAGCAAAGCAGAGCAAAAGGGGCAGGCACGTAGGACAAGGCCTGGAGAACTTGCTGCTGACATCATCCTAGGTGTTGGAAGAGAAGCTGAGGAGCTCGGAGGAGAAGTTGGAGGAGACGAACTTGAGGCTGAGAGATGCCATGGAGGAGCAGAACAGGCAGAACCTCCACAGCGCAGACACACAGAGGAGGTGGGAGGAGTCTTGGAGATGTTTCACCTCCTTATCCTTCTGCAGAGGCAAGTTGGACTCGCAGATCCGACAGGCATGCTCCATGCGCCATGCCGTGTCGATCAGTAGAGATCTGCAGGTCGATGTGCCAGGGGAGGGCGGGTTGGACCTGACGCTACCCAGAGCATTGTTGACGAGTTCGGACACGTGATGTTTGAGTTCGACATGGAACTAGAGGACGTCAGAAGGTTTCTATCGCCTCCGCCTCCTCCTCTCCTCCATTTTACTTTGCGATCCTCGCCCTTTCCTCTTCCTCCTCTCTCCTTCTTGCTAGTTGTTGCTGACATGCCTTTCCAAAGTTACCAGAAGCAGGCCATACTGGAACGGCAGAAGAGGAGGCATGCGGAGAATCTTCTCAGCCGAGCAAACGCGCAGATAGCAGGTAGGAGAAGACAGGAGGGAGGAAAATTGAAAGAGAGGAGAAAGAAAGAAGAGGAGCAGAATCCCTGATAGCACTTTCAGATCTCCGCCTAGAGCTCGCACATACGCAGTCGGTATTCACCGAACGTCTGGAGAAGGAAATCTCTCTAGTGCTCCATGACACTGAGATTGTCAAGGCAGAGCAGATGGCCTATCTCAAGGTTCCTCCTCCCTCCCTTCCTCCCTCCCTCCCTCCTCCCTCCTCCCTCCCTCTTCCCTCCCTCCTCTTTTACGCTCAAGTGACCTGCAGGCGGTGCTTGACTCGAGCGAGGAGCGCGAGCGGAGGCTCAAGGAGGAAGTACAGGTGCTGCAGGTGGGGGCCTGCGATTCCTTGAGCTCAAGGCTGAACAGGGGGAACCAACAGGTTGACGCGGTCAGAGCTCAGACGCTAGAGGAGCTGAACGCCAAGTTTGCGATCATGCAAGAGACGGTTCAGAAGGTATCTCAACAAGTGGAGGAGATCTCCTCCTCCTCCTCTCCCAGGGATTCAAAACTTGTGGTGAACGGCAGACGGCCCCCTCCCAGCCATCAAGTCTCCTTGCAAGTCCGTGGAGCATCCGAGGCGCTCGTGGGGGCCAGGCCGGGGGGATCGCAGGAAGGAGGAGGAGCTCGGAGCTCGCGCAAGGCTGAAGAGTCGAAGGGGGAAAACGAGGACGCGTCCACAGCACAGGATTCAACCCCTACGTCCCACCTAGAGCAGAAGCTCATCAGCCTGCGGGAAGGGCTCGAGTGAGTGCTCGTTGCTCGTCGGCTATCGAGGCTGACATGTGCCTGCAGCAAGGTGATCAGAGGTCAGACAGCTGGCCGAAGCTCATCCGACAGTAGCGAAGTGTCTCCCCTGCCAGCCCCTCAGAGCGTCCTTCGTCAGACTTGCGATGTGTCGGACTGGCAGGAGGAGGGAGGGCACGAGTGAGAACGTTTCTCACCGTGAGGGAGGATGAGGCTGACGCTTTTCAATCCTCAGCACCTGTGCTCTACAAGAATCTCACGACAGAGAGGTCGTCCTCGAGGTGTTTTCATCGACCACCTCTTCACACTCCGCTTTCCTGACCCTCCTTTCCCCACCGCCTCGCCCATCCCATCCTCTTTCGCTGCTGATCCTCCTGCTGTGCTAGTCTCCTCCTGCCCCAGCTGCTCCTCTTCTCCTTGCCCACCTTGACATCTGCATGACTTCGACCCCAGGGCGATCCGAGGAAGAAGAAGGCGCTCATGGATGGAAGGTCAAAGTACGCCTCCCCCGATCGAGTCCCACCTGCAGCATCGCAGTATCGTCGGAGTCTCCAACTCTGCGCATTCCTGATGTGCTACTGCAGCCCCGGACAGCACGTGATCGCCTCCTCGGGCCCCGACCTGGTGACCTGGTCGCGCATAGGAAGGGATGCGGCGCTGAGTGAGACTTTTCGCTCGTCTCCCTCAAGCACTCTCCATATTCGTGCTCTCCTCCTTGTTCCCTCGTCCTCCTTCCCTGTTGCTCCTTCTCTACTCGCTCTTTCCCTCCTCTTGGTTTCCTTGTGCTCTTTTCCCCAAGACCATGTTTAAGATCAGAGTGCAGCAACAGGTGAACCGGGCAAGGCTCACATCCAAACCGACGCTGTCTTCGTTCCTGTGTTCGTTGGCAGGGCGAGTCAACTGCAACTAGATCTCCACGTTTGACTCCTGCACCTCAGGATCAAAAGACTGACGCCTCTCTCCTATCGGACTCGTGGGTGCACGGGTAAGTGGCTCCTTTGGAACGCTGATCTTCCTCCTCAAACTCTCACTCAGGTATCCCTACCCATCACCTCCTCGTGAGTCGGATGCTGCGAACTTGAACGGGAAGGCAGCAGAGGACAGTCTCCTCTGGTCCTTCGGCCTTGAGAGTCCGATCAACTCAGCAATGAAGCTGAGCTTCGAGGAGGAGGATACAGCCAGCAAGTCTTCCATTTCCCCCCATGAAAGCCTCGTCTTGGTCGGCGACTCCGAGCTGCTGTCGAGTTTGAAGAAGCCTGACTCCCCGAGGTGAGCCTGCGCTCCCCAGCTGACTCTCCTGCTGCTCTTCTCACGTCCTGGCAGCAAGGCTAGAAGGAGAGTGAACTTTCGGGAGTGAAGCGTGTCAAAGTCAAGAAGTTTGAAAGTTTGAATGTCTATGTGTTTTAGATCAAATTTGAAATGTTATGTCTAATTATCAAATTCTAAAGGAAATTTCAACACAGTCCTGTGCGAATCCGAAATCTGGCGTTTTTGTAAGCCCGCCTCTGTACAAGGACATAAGAGTCACTGAGACAGCAAATGCCATATAGAGGATCTCCTAGAGCTGCTGGCCGGTTGCTCGTAGAGTTTCCGAGTGAGGTTAGGGCCCAACGCAGTCTACGAGGACCGGTAGTTTTCCCTTCAATATTGTTGGTACTGCAGTGCTCAGTTGGTAGTTGACGACAAAATGGTTTAGTAGGCCTGAGGAGACGAGAAGTGAGGGAGAGTAAGAAGAAGAGAGGGAGAGGTGAGAAGGACAGAGGAAGGAAAGCAGAAAGAGCAGAGGACGATGAGGGAAAGGACGTGAAGGTCTTCGTAGAGTGCATTCAGTGAATCATAACCGATACAGCACACATCTCGCCGATCACTTCAAGCATGAGACCGACGTTCGCCGCCTACGACTTCACAGTTGGACATGGAGAGGACGGGGAGGGACATGGAACACTGCGATAAGATAGAGCCTCTTGTTGGATGTCGTTGCAGCAGCAGCCAAACATGACGGAATCATTGCAAAGCGCTCTGGATCAGAGTGACGCAGTCGCGGACTTGATTCAGACTTTAGAAGCAGGAGATCTCGATCATGCTGTAAACTTGCGCGGACTGGACCTGTCGGATGACGCGTTCGAGAAGATCGGCCAAGAGCTGTTTGTTGCCATCGGAAGTTCCGACAAGGTCGAGGTGAGGTCGAAAGGAGCCTTCTCACCAGGTTCACCTTGTCTCCAGGAGTTGGACCTTGGAAGCAGCCATCTCGACAAGACCGCTGGTTACCATCTCGTGCAAGCAGTCCAGTGCCAGAAGACTCTCTCCATCCTCAGGCTAGGAAACAATGGCTTGAGCGACCTGCTCTGCGCCAACATAGTCCATGCCTTGGGAGAGAACGAGAGCTTGAAGCTGAAAGAGCTGTTCCTGGGGATGAACGAGGCTGGTGCCACAACAGGTTGCTATGACAAGGCCTCTCAATACCCTAACTCCTTTGATTGCAGCCACAACGTTGCACATGCACTTGACGTCTGACCATGGCGGTTTGCGTTTTCTTGAAAGATTGAATCTTGCAAACAATGTCATGGGCGACGATGGTGACAGAAGTGTCTCTCAATCGACAGACGATGATGAAACTTGGTCTCAGGTGGTAGCATAGTTGCAAGCATGTTGGGAAACAACAATCACCTCAAGTATCTTGACTTGGGTGCTAATCGGCTGGGAAAGAAAACCAGCATGTAATTCAAAAACGATTCCGTGGCAGATCATGTGACCAAAGGGATTTGTTCTCAGGGCTATGGCAGAGGCGTTACTCACCAATGCCTGCCTTGTGGAGCTTCGCATCGAGCGAAATGCAGAGTTGGAGAGTCAAGGGTAAGGGAATGATTGCAACGCTCAAGCTGATATGTTTCAGTTTGCTTCCCATCGTCGATGCTGTCAGACAGAACCGTCATTCGCGCATTCAGATGATCTACACATCAGAGGTGACTCCATGCCTGAGAGCGTCCACCAGCTCTGACGCGATCGCTTGAACCAGCCCATTGCTGAGATGCTGCAGCAGCAAGGCTTCAACTCGGACCTCTCGAATCGCGAGATCTTCGAGCACCTCCGAGACCTGCACGTCTGGTACGAGGACGAGGCGTCGTTTGAGGTCTCGACAGCGAAATGGAAGAGCGTGCGGCAAGCCATCAGGCAGAAGCAAGGGAAGATCCTGTCAGAGATCTTGTCGCTCTGGTACTGGGCTTACTACGTTGAATGTGCCAAGGCTATCGGGGTTGAACGCTACAGGAGTCGAAGTTTAACGCATCACTTTGAAAGCTTCAAGTCGACTGTCAGTGCCAACAGGGCCAAGCTGATTGCGCTACAAGCGAGACATGCGGAGAGGAGGCTGGCAACCAGCTTCTACTCGTTTCTGCTGTCAGCCGTGATGTCGAAAGAGTCGCTCTGTTTGAGTGATACCTTGCACTTGTTGCAAACCAAACGCAAAGCTCTCGATCGATACCTAGGACATGAGCATGTCTCGCAGTACCGTACCTTCTATACCAGAAAGGTAATCTTGATGAAGCTGTCCCGAATATCCATGGCTAAAGGAGCGAAAATTAGAAGATGGACATTTTTCTTGGCATGGAGACAATTCTCAATTTTAAGACGGAAGGCATTCGAGACAGTTGAAATGTTGAGCTCACAAAGATACTATGAAAACGCCAGAAGAGTGCTACGGATTTGGAGATCAATATGCAATCAGCGATTCTTTGTGTATAAACATGTACAGGCTACGAATTCTCAAGAGCGAAGCAACGCTAAGGCAGTTGCGTTTGGAGGATTTGTTGAATGGTTGAAAGATTCAAGACATAATCAAAAAGTTGCAAGTTCAAAGATGTATCGGAATAAGCTCCTTGCGCTTAGACAAGGGTTTGCTGCACTGTCAGATGTTTGTAGGCGTCGGAAGATACTGAATCACTTCATTCGCTGCAGAACAAGGAGCAAACAACAACGGACAGGATTGAAGTACTTGAAAACATGGCAGGCACACGCTTGGAGCAGAAGAGCATTGAGTCAAAGAGTTCAACAAATACACATTAACGCGGTGAAGTTGTTCTTTTTCCGCTGGAAGATTCGAAGAAAGAGATCAATGAAGAAGATCGTTTCTCAAGATTTAGAGCACTCTCACACGGTCAAGATCTTGAGAGACGGTTTACTTCAACTTGACTTGTACCGCAAATTCAAGCAGCACAAAACGCAGAGCATGATCAAAGCGAGGCAGAATGAATTTCATGTTCTTGTTCGACCGGGTTGGCACATGTGGAGACTGGAGGCGCAAGCTGCAAGAGCTTTTCTCCGCAGGAAACGTACCGATATTGGCCTGATGAAGTCTTGTTGGAATTCTATTGTGAAGTTTTGTGAGACTCGAACCTCGATCTTACAGTTGCAAACACGCAAGCGAACGAGGGCTTTGATGAGCTCCGCGTTTGCAGCATGGAAAGTTTTTGTAGAGACAAATTGGAAGAGAACTGTGCAGGTCAAGTTGGCGTTGGAATTCTCGTTGAAGAAATGCTTGGGCTGGTTGCAGTTTGGGATTCATCTGAGCAAGACGAGAAGGCTAGTGGAGCAGAAGATCAGAGCTCGTCACTTGAGCCTCTTGCTAAGATTCGCCTTTACCGCTCTCAGCACTGGGGCCTCACATGCTGCTCAGTTAGATGGAGCACCCAAGGGGCCCAAGTCAACCTACATGAAGAAGATGGTCGACGACAAAGGAAAGTTGTTCCTGCGCTTCAGGTTGCTGAAACACTTCTTCTTGTGGAAGGAGCACCGACTGTGAGCTCTTAGCCTTTGGAGGTAGGTCATCACAATAGTGACGTTCCTGCAGGGTCCCCAAGAAGTGGACGAGAGGGATGGAAGCATACTGCGGCATGCTCGACGACGACCAACAGCGATCGCTGTGTGCTCATTTCGACGTGGACGTGCAGGCTCTGCTCGACAAGCTGGGACTAGAGCGGGGGGGTCGGAGTGGCAAGCTGCTTCGAGACATCATCCTGGAGTGGGCGGGAGGAGCTGAAAACTTCAACTTGATTCGCTTTCTCACCTTGGTCTGCAACAAGTGGACCGCCGGGTCTGTGCCTTCGGAGCTCAACGTGCAGGAGGTCCGGCTGGTCCCCAGCTACGAGATGGTCCAGGTAGTTCACGGCGACTACAACAAGGTCAAGATCCTCCTCCCCGACCTTCATAGCCGTCACGAGCTGCTCTGCCGCCTCGAACGCTCCATGGTGAGGTACCTGCCGCCCGGCATGAGCCCCTCCCCCCCTTCCTCCTGCGAGAGGCTGCAGGCCGCGAGAGAGTTTGTGCTGGAGGCGCTGGGCCTTCACGAGTCCTACCTGGACCCCCGCGGTGACCATGAGCTGTGGCCCTGCACCTTCTCCAAGAGGAAAGGCAACCCCGCGAGACTCTATGCTGCTCCGCAAGGTTGGGTGCGGGTCGGCCTGCGGGTGGACCCGATCCTCGCGAAGCGACACCGGGTGTGGGAGGACTGGAACGTGTGCTATCACGGGACCAGGAAAGAGCTGGTTGCCAAGATCGTTGAGAGTCGGATGCTCCTCCTCCCTGGAGATCAAAATTTCAGCGGGAAGCTGGTGAGTGCGGACGAGTACTACCCATCCTTTATCGACCTGAGGGACAGATACGTCATCGTGCCCAACTCGCACGGTCCTGATCTGATCGACAAGCACAGCAGCAGCAACCCCTACCACAGCACCTCGGCTGGAGCGCAGGAGCTGCGGTGGGAGAAGTTCTTCGTCACCAGCCCCTCCATCGTCTACACGTCCAAGTACTTGGCCAAGACGTTCACATGGCGGAACAGAAGGGCGCAGTGGTGATGCAGGGGAGGCAGTGCCCGCATACCCTTCGAGTGATGGCGTACAAGTCGCTGATGGAGGTTCCGACCATCGACAAGAACTTCTCCAACTCAGAGCTGAACTGGTTCAGCAACGCCTATGGGTCCATCATTCTCACCGGCATTCTCTTTCGATTTCTTGAATGATGTAACGATTCTCCATGCCCAGAGGCTGAATGCTCCATCACTCGCCTCCTGAGTCTTCCGGCTCCACTCCCCTCTCCCTTCTCCCTTTTCTCTCCTCTCTCTTCTCCTCTCCTCTCCTCTCTCCTCTCTCCTCTCTCCTCCCCTCCCTTCTCCCCTCTCTTCTCCCTTCTCTCAGCCCTCTCTTCTCTTCTCTTTCTTCTCCTCCTCTTCTCTTCTTCTTCTCCTTCTCTTCTTCTTCTTCTCTTCTTCTCTTCTCTTCTCTTCTCTTCTCTGCTCTCTCGTCTTGTCACCCTCACTGTGACATCAGTCGTTCAATTCTTGCCAGACATTTCAGTTATGAGCCGCAGCACCCATAGGTCCACCGGGGGGGTGTGAGGTGCGTGGCAAGAGGGCAGCGAGGACACTATGTTGATTTTACTTGAGAGATTAAAGGAAAATGTTCCACCTTGAAGGTAGTACACACACAAATGACCAGAGGCCCGGGGGTTGCAAGTGAAGGTGAGAGGCAACTGGGCTCCTCATGGCGGCGTTGGGGTGGCAGGGCTGAAGGATCGGAGGATCGTACAACATCCCCTCCTCTGGTCCTCTGGTCCTCTGCTCCTCTCCTTACGTCTCCCCACTCCTCGTCCTCTCCCCTTCTCTCTCCCTCTCCTCTTCTCTCCTCTTCCTCTCTCCACTTCTCTCCTCTCCTCTCCTCTCGCTTTTCTTGCCCTAGCCGCCTTCCCCTGTAGGCCTCTGTTTTCTCTCTCCGTTTCCTTCTTCCCCTTCTCCCGTATCAGGTAGGATGGCTATCAGATCGCTCGCGGAACTCTGACAACCTCGGTTGTCTCTTGGGACTTCTTGGGCTTTCGATTCTTGAGTACTCCATGCAGGGCGCTGGTGACGGGGCAAACATGGCAGCAAGTCAGAGCCTGTACGAGCATAGAGCATGGAGCTTCACGCCCGAGAAAACTCCGAGGACAAGTAGATCCAAGAGCCCAGTACAGGAAGCGATGGAACAGAAAGCAAGGAGACAGGAGAGGTTCAACGCTGTCATGCAGCAGAGGGCCGAGAAGGAGGTAGAGGGTTGCTCTTTCAAACCTGAGCTGTCAAAACGATCTCTGGGTCTGGTCGATAAGAATCCTTACCTAAGAGCAGAGCCCCTGCACTCACGAGGAGCGAGCAAGAGCCCAGCGGTGTCGAAGGAGACGTCAGAAGACCCTCCGATCTCAGTGATGAACGAAGTCTCGAGGATTCTGCTGATGCGGAAAGGCGACCGGCATGGCCCTGTGCATGAGCGACTGATAGAGTTCGGGAAGAAAGCCAAGGAGAAGAGCCAGGGTCGATTGCAAGAGCTGCAGATGCAAGAGCAGAAGAACAGCACTTTCTCTCCGAAGATAGATCACAACTCTGAGCGACTGGTCTTGTCCCGAGACGGAGGGCAGGATGCGATGGAGAGGCTGACGTGTGAGTACCTGCAGAAGCGGCGGGAGAAGAGAGAGAGGTTGTTGCAAGAGGCAGAAGAGAAGCTGCAGCAAGCTACCCAGCAGAAGAGCTTCATCACCGCCACCAGCAAGCGGTTGCTGGAGAAGGCTCAGTCTACTGGGAGGTTGACGCCGAGGTCAGACTCGGGCATCTCCCGCTCCCGGACGCCAATCTCTGACAACGGGGACAGAGCTCCGCAGCAGAAGCAGATGCCCTCACCTAACCTGACTCGAGGCAGAAGCGCGAGGCAGTCGTGGAGCGGCATCTCCAGCATCTTGAGTGACGACAGCAACGAGAACTTCTGTGTTGGCGCCTTTGACTTCCACGAGGAGCTGCGAAAGAATGAGCTCAAGACCAAGACGTTGGAGCAGATCATGAGCAAGACAAAGACTCCGAGCCTCGTTTCTCCTCGAGGGAGCGCGGAAGGAATCATGTCGCCGATATCTTCCTCTCAGTCAACTCCTGCTAGTCTTCTCAAATGGCATGGATGGAACAAGATGCGAGCAGGAAAAGGCAGCCAAGACGACTCCATAATCAACAACCACTCGGTAACGCAAGAGGCAAAAGCGACAGCAAGCAGAAATGAAAGTAAGATAACAAAGAGAACTGATTCAAAAGCTGTAGGGAAACGAACAAACAAGGTATGAGCACTTCTCCTCCTGTAAACACCTGAATGATGGTTTTGTCATTACAGGAGAAGACATCTCATTTTGAACAAAACGATATTAGATTGCAAATGCAGCAACTGACTCAGGAATATGAACAACTCTCTCAGAATTGTAAGCTTATCATTCTTGTGTGCATGTTAAACTCACTCCAATTGCAGACAAGCTGCTCGAGAGTGAAGTGCTGGCGCTTCAGAACGAAAATCGACAACTGGCGCAAGAGAGGGTAGGCAAGTGACTGAGCTGTCGGTCAATGACCAGGCGATGGCAGGATGTTGCAAGGAAGCAGAACGAGAAGCTGAGGGCGGACATGGACGCAATCACGGAGAAAGGACAGGCGGTAGTTCGACTGAACGCTCGCCTGATGGCGCAGGTACCTTGATTCGAAGAGCAGAGAGGGGGAGGACGAGGAGGAGGGGCCGGTAGGGTGAGATGCAGATGCCATTGGCACGATGAAGTCAGCGGAGGAGAGTGCATGCTTTCTGACTCCATCGGATTGCAGATCAAAGATCTCAAGAGCAAGGATGTGCGGGGGAAACAACAGCCGCTCACTGATAACCAGCTCTCCGTTCATGTCCATTTCCAAGATGAGCCAGCTGAAGACAACGAAGAGCACTGATCAGAAGCAAGTCTGCAGGGAGGAAAACGAAGAGGGCGGAGACGAAAACGGATAGCCATACTAGTAGCAGGAAGTGAAAGCCAAGTTTACATTAGATGATATGCTGGGATGAAGACCCTGAGTGTGGTCAATGCGTTCTTGTCCCTCACGCTGAAATCTCACGCTTTGATCTGAGTGTTTACTTTACATGCTGCAAGGTCAACAAGTGTTCCCTTCCCCCTCGCTGCTTTGCGTGACGAAGAAGCCCAGCAAACAGACAGAAGCCTCGATCTGCGAGCCTTGTCATCTCTACCTTTCCTCCCGCATCCAGTGTCACCTTCGGGTTTTGTATCTCCCACTTCACTTTGGGATGTTCTGGGGGTACCAAGAGCAGAACTTCATCGCTGCTCGTTCTGCGACGAGCAGTCAAGCCTTCCTCCCTCAATTCCGCACGCACCTGAACGTGCTGATGCTGTCGCTGGCACAGGCCACTGCCTCCATGGATCGCACGCGGATCAAAGCTCCCTGCTCGCTGCTGGTCAGGTGCTTCTCCAGGTTGGCGAGGTCTCGCTCAGACGCCTTGTCGTCGCCCTGCCAGCGCATGAGGAGAGCTTGGCCATGCCTCACGCGCTCACATCGACAGGAAGGACGACGAGGAAGGGCCTCCGCACTGGCATCAGATCTTTGGGAAACTTGGACAACGGCTGCCAGCTGGAGATGGCGAGGGAGCTTGGCAGGTAGGCAGCTGGACCCAAGTCGCCGAACTGAAAGTCAAGGTCATTCCCCGCAAACCACAAGAGCTGGAGGATGTGCTGTGAAAGTCGCGGTTGCAATGGTGGGGAGGAAGGGCCGGTTGAAGTTGGAGGGAATGCAGAACGAAGAGAATAGATTGGGGACGAGAGAGTTGGAGATCAGGCAGGAAGTCACCTGCCAAAGTGACACTGCCAAGTCAGTTGTCTTCAAGGCCGGAGGAGAAGCGTCGGTGGGTAGTTTCAGTGACCTTTGCGCGATCTTTCTTAGAGGAAGCCAGGTGCTTCCATCCGAGGTCCTCGACGCTTGTGATCTTGACGTACCAAAGACATCGCAGATGCGCACCAGACGACCATTCTGAACCTGACAGACGTCATGTGACTCGTATCCCCGCCTAGCCGAGTCGATCTGCAACGCTCTTGCTGCCACGACGAACTTCTTCTCGTCGCCCCACTTCCTCTTCGTGGCCTGAGCCCCTGGCTTCGGGGCGCAGATCTTGTTCGGGCTGGAGTCAAGGAGCGTGAGGTCGTTCGCACGTCACAAGAGATGAGAACCTCGACATAACGGATGTCTTCGGCACATCGGAAGGCTCTGCAGGCTCTGCAGACATGAGACGGTCAAGTATTCCTTCACTTCCTCAATCCATCTCGAGCTAAGCTCCGTCCTGCTCCTTGCAGAGATCCTTTCCCCTTCTCATCATCTGGAATTCTAGTCTACCTGCTATCATCATCTGGAATTCTAGTCTACCTGCTATCATCGTCTGGAATTCTAGTCTACCTGCTATCAGCTACATCTTCACTACACTCCCTCTCTTCTCTCCCCACCCCCCCTCTTCTAGCAACGGGATCCCCTTTCCTCCACCCTCCACCGCAGTCTGCCATTGCATCGCATGTTCGCAGCAGATATTTTGAGCTCTGTTCCGGTGCATGTTTCTGTCCTCGTTCATGCTCCTCTCCTGTCTACTCTTGCTCATCTCCCCACCTGCCGCGCCTTCAGTCTTCTCCGCAGCGCCCTGCATGGCGCCAGGCCTACAAGGAAGTGGAGGGCATACATGAACAAATGGGTGGGGTACTCAATATTGGGGGGTGGGGCTATAACTTCAATTTCAATCTCCTTGAAGGTGATTGATTACCCAATTATCTTAAAGGATATTTCAAGCATCTCAAGCAGCTTGAGCTCCTTCGCTCGGTCAGCGCTTGGTGGCTGAGTATCCCAAGGGGTTCCATATGAATGCAGGGGGTGGTAACGACGGGCCGCCAAAACTTGAGACACGCGGCCCGGCCCGGGGCCCGGCCGGGGCGGGAAACGGACCGTCCACCGAGCCTGACCGGCGGTACTGTCCGATCCGATCGGGCGCCGGGCGGCGGCACTGCTGCGCAGTGCCGGGCAGTGAGCCTGTGACCGGTCACCTAGTACGGTCCCCGGGCCTGGCAGCCTGTCAGTCACCGGGTCGACTCGCCGGGTTCGCCCGCCGTCTGAGTCACAACCGGGCGCCGGCGGGCCGCCCGGGTGCCGCGACAGCGCCCGGCGGGCAGGCTCAGCGGCTCAGCGGCACTGACTCGAGTGGCTCTTCGAACTTGCGGCCGCGGCGACTCGCAGGCAGCTCGCGCGGCAGGTCGGCGGCGGCGTGTCCGAGTCAGTGAATTGCGCTAGCCTAGTAGCCTGTGATTCATGACGCCGAGTGACTTCCGAAAGGTACGGTGGCGGGCAAATCTCACCGTGGGCATGCCGCGTGCACCTTCACCTTGCAAAGCTCGGATGTTCCTGGCAAGTTCATCACCCGATCCGATGATCGTGACCGTACGAACGCTGAGCTCGGAGCGGCTAATGCGGCGCATCGTCCGGTGGTTGATGATAAGTTCCGAGTTCTTCGTTCGTGTTACAGTCACACTCGATACTATCAAAAAAATGCCTCGGTTTCAATGAAGAACTGAATGATTTTCGTTTGACACTCACACAGATGTGGTATATCTCATTTTAATACAAGTTCAACTCAAGTAAGCAAAATATAATACAAAGATTAGTGTGCACACATGGAGGGATTAATAGAAGTAAGAAGTGCGAAAATGCTACATCATTCGACTGCAAAAGACTGCTGCAGGGCGACGAGCGCGAGAACGGCTGCAGTCGTGTTCACCGAACCGAGCTGGCTTGCGAGGTCATCGGACGATTCGACCTGCTTTTGACCATCAAAGCAAACATGCGAACCAAACGATGCTCGCAGTTCGGTCACTGCCGGAAGCTTGACTTCTTCAGGCATCAGCTTGATTCGCTTGAGTTCATTCCCTTCGCCGATTTCATGCAAAGGTTCTGGCGACGGACTGTCATTCGTGCAAGACAGACCAAGAAGAGGTTTCACGTCAACTTCATCCTTGATGTGTCTCTGCATGTGATTTCTCTTACCGGTATCAAAGCTATCCCGCTCCAGCCAGTGATTTGGATTTTTACATCCATATGATCCAGCGGGCGTACAGTTGCAGCATTGACGGCACCACACGTATTGGTGTCCCGCCGAGCAAGAGATCATTGTCAATCCGCGAGGATGACTTCGCAAGGTCAGAGAACACATGCAGAACTTGGATTGCTTCCTGTCGACATACTTGCAATGACCAAGCATGCAAACATTCTTCTTCGAGTCAACAGTAGCATCTTGCAGTGGTTGCATGATAGGGTAAGTCGACGGTGGCAAGGCGCAAGACGGTTGCAGATGCTTATCAAACTGCAGGTCAGGAGTTACAAGCGTTGGGATTTTGTTGCCATCATTGCAAGCGTTTGAGAGCAATGCCGAGATTGGAAGCAGCCTCGGTGCTGACGATTCCGCAGTGGCAACACAGGTTGGCGATGAACGCTGCCTCTTTCCAAGAACCTTCGGTGGTGTGGAGCAATTAGTCGAATGGCATTGCATATGATTCCTTTTGCCAGTGTCAAATGAATCACGTTCAAGCCAGTGTTGCGGTTGAGTACAACCCTTATACTCCAAGTTACAGTCACAGCATCGCTGGCACCACACCCACTGGTGACCAGCCTTACACGCAACCGTGATATACCCACGCTTGTGAGGCCTTGCAACAACTTCCAGTTTGCAGGCCCTTCGTGCACCAGTTCGCTCGACATGCTTGCAATGTGGCAACAGAATGCACTGTGCGGAACGCATCACCGACGGCCTGCGCGCTTGTTACTGAGGATAAAGAACGAAAGGTTCACTCACTGGAAATCCGTGGTCGGCAGGAGTGCGAAAGAAGTGTAAAAAGTACACATCGTAGTTTTCAAGTAGGAGGTAGAGCACCAAATTGAAGTCAATCACAAAGTCGACTTGCACACCGAAAACGTCACAGAAGCCTCGACGTTTTCGCGAAGGGGAGACAATCAACCGGAAAAATTGCGAACCTTTTTGAGCAGCGTCACCTTTACGTGCGCACAGAGGATCTTAAACCGATCACAACCAGCAATGAGTACTTCCCACGTAAACTTGCGGAACAAACTTTGAGAGAATCCCACAACTGCCAAGCTCACGAGCGAGATAGTAGGGAGAGATGGATAGAAGTGAAAGAATGAACGTGAGGCTGGCAGGAAACAACAATACACACAGAAGGGGTCTTCGTACACAACTGCGTGTCGCGAACACTGCGATCAGGGACTCTTGCTCCTCCCCTCCCGACTCCCAATTATCCCCTGCAATTCCACCCCTACAAGCTCCACCCCTACCCCCTTGGAAGACTGTCCTCACAACACCTACCCTGCCCATTCGACACGTTCACTCAAGTACATTTGGTACCCCTGAGTTCGACTTGAGACTAGGTGGTGTTCTTTCACAGTACCCACCCATATCCCCCCAAAACCACCCTTCCAATCTACGTGTAGAAACTTTGCAAAGTTTCACCCCTATTCCACAATCAGACCATTCACCACCACCTACCCATCGTCAATCACCCTACCCCCTTTAATCAACTCGACTTCTTATCAAGGGTTGGGTGGTTATGTGCCTGCATCCTCAGTTCTAAAGATCCCTCACCCACCCCCCACCACCCATCGGAGAAGGGATCCCCTCTACCCCACTCTGTCTCATTGTCAAGTTAGAACCCCACCCCTCCTCCTTCATCCCCACTGGTCCTCATACACAGTACTGTCAGGTGGTTATATGCCTGCTCTGGGCCTTTCAAGCACCCATGTGCATGACCATTTTCGCCTTGGACCCCTCCAAGTGTTCGCAGCCCCTGTAGGCCCCTACCCATCTGTAGAAGACCCCTGTAAATTTGAGAAGTACGGTACCCCAACGACCCAATGATTGAAACAAGGGGAAGGGGTAGAGAATACCACCCTACCTGACGTTTTCGCTTGCCAATCCGACCCCTGCCCCTGCAACCCCTGCCTCTCCTTTTAAATTATGGGATCAATATACCCGTTCTGCTGACCACCTTTTCACCGGTCCGTACTCACCCCTGCCATCCGGACCCTGCAATGCCTGAGCTACCTGTATTCGCCCCACCCCGCATACCAGGTACCCTACCTCATTCCCGTCTCCCCGGATTCAGACCCTACCCCACATCATGCACAGAAATTCCTTCCAGAAGTTTGAGGACCCTCACCCCCTTCTGAACTAGTCCGGACCCATGTTCTTTCCAACAATACCCGCTACCCCCTATGAGGACATAGGGGTACAGACATTTTATGTGGAGCATATTCCATTCTTAAATGGCAAAGCTTTTCATCGGATTTTTTGGTGTATAATCTTCTTGGGACGAGGAAGCAGAATGCATCATGTATCTGAATAGGTAATTAATGCTAGGGTACCTTGTCTTCGTTTCAAAGATTGCTACACGAAACAAATGCACGCCAATATCCACAAAGAAATCTGCAGATCCTTCCAGAACGACCCCCGAGTGTCGGATGACGATGCTTTTGGGCAACCAATTTTAAACCCACCCTACTACAGGATTGCAACTCAAATACCCATAAAGGATTTGTACCGCAAAGGAGGAATGAAACAGCTTTTTTAGTACCAGCGGTGGATTCACGCAAAGACCAAGTAAAGATTATAAATAAGTCACTGAATATAGTACAGATATTTTGTTTTAAATTATCTCTTGTGTACAATTTATCTGTACCATTATCGCTATCAGTGTGGTAGACACTTCAGGGGAACGTACCTGCGCTACAAATCTGTTTGTCCCCGCCCCCCCCTTTGATAGGTGAGGTCACGTTACTACATGCTCTAGAACACTGGCAATAGAGCAGGCGCTCACAGATGACCGGTTATCTTTCCTGCACTTTACAGATGTAATGATGGTGGGTTAGAATCTTAAACGGTGGGGTGGGGTGGAGGACCAGTTTTGCTGACACCACCCACTGATTGGACCCCTGTACTTGTAATACATTTTGGGGGTAAGGGGGTGGTGATGGGGTGGAAAGGGTAACCACATAAAAGAAATCGTTTTTATGTGTCGGCCCAAAGTAACTAAAAAGTATGGTACCTTGACCACCCTTCCGTTGCCCCTCATAAGCGAAGACATCAGGGTGGTAGCTGTGACCCTACCCCTGCACCAGGGGCCACGTGATCCACCCCTGCAGCGGTCGCTGCAGGTAAGGGAGGGGTCCAGGGGGTTTCCAAAGAGAGCGGGTCCAGCCTTCCAGAACATTCCTTCTAGAAGCTTGCCCAGGCAGAAACGACTGCCACCGTGACGAGATAGACTACTAGTGAAAGCGCCTCCACACTCAGACCCTCCGACTGGGCCCCGGAGGCCCTGAGTGCCGGGGCCGGGTAGTAGGGGCCGGGCCGGCGGGGCAGGTTTGAACAACTGATGAGTCGGGCGAGGCAGGCTTGTTGCGGGGGGTGCAACAAGTGACCAGACTCGGGCGCAAAGAATGGAGCGAGGAGGGGATGGCGAGTCGAGACGAAGTCAGAACATGTCGATAGGGTGAAGAGAGAGGAGATCAATAGATCAAGTAGACGACTTGATGATAACAGTGAAGGTGTGGGTTGGCAACTCGCTGAGGAACTGAGGGAATTGTTCGATTCAAGGTTTATGCGGAGCTTCCAGCCACTGGCTCGCCGGCTCTGTCAAGCATCTGCATCGTGGTATCCTCAATGAGGAATTATGGATGAGTATCATGTAGATTTGAAGAAAGCCAGCAGAGGAGGAGGAGGAGGAGGAGGAGGAGGAGGAGGAGGAGGAGGAGGAGGAGGAGGAGGAGGAGGAGGAGGAGGAGGAGGAGGAGGAGGTGGTGGTGGTGGTGGTGGTGGTGATGGCGGTGATGGCGGTGGTAGGATGGGCAGGGTAGTGGTAATCATTGGAGGCGGATTTGGTTGATGATTGAAGCCACGCTAGGACATCATCAACCAACGGTTTCCTGCCGAGCAGAGGGATGAGCCAGAGAGCAGAGCGACTGCAAGAGGAGGAGAAGCGAGATCTCCTCGATCCTCTGATGGCTGAAGGATGGTCAGTCATGGACACAAGAGACGCGATCCACAAGAAGTTCAAGTTCAAAGATTTCAAGAAGGCCTTCAAATTCATGCAGGGGGTTGCTGTGCACGCTGATCGGCTTGACCATCACCCCGAATGGTGAGATTCTTCTGTGATGGTGGGAGGACGAGGGTTGATGGCGACATTGCAGGACGAACGTATACAACAAGGTGGACATCACTCTGACGACGCACGACTGCGATGGGTTGTCGAAGAGGGACATTGAGCTTGCAAGGCACATCGAAGAAGAAGCGAAGAATGTGAGTCAGCAGTGAGAGGAGGAGATTTGGAAGAGAATATGGAGGCAAAGAGGTGAAGGGAGCTGGGCTGGGTAGGGACGAGGAAAGCAAAAGGAGAAGACATCCTCAAGTGAGCTGTGGAAGGAGAGCTGGACATTGGCCGTCGGTCTGACATCGTTCAACAACCTTGATTCATTATGATATCACATGCATTCGACAGAGTTTTCGTTAATGTACATCCCTCACAAGCAGACTTGCCACGTGACCATCTCTGTGCTCCCCGACGACACGATCATGTCTCCTCGCGAAGCAAACTTGAGCTTCTTGAGCGAGTGAGAGTGTCCGGCGAAGTCTTGAAACGTTCCTGCGTCGTAGTCGATTACCTGCAAGAAGCCGTCAGACTGATCGATCGCTCCAACTCCCGCCCGACCCTCCTCCTCCATTCCTCCTCCCCTGTCCATAATCCGTCTCTGATCTTCCTTTGAACTCTCTCCCTCTATCCAGCTTCACCTCGACCTGATCTCGCCTCTTCTTATGGCAATCTCACTCTTTGTTTGCTCTGGCCCCTCTCATTCGCTTCCTGTACCCACCTTCACCAGACAATCTTCGGTTCCGATGGCAACGAGGTAGTTGGAGGGAGAGATGGAAAGGCAAGTAGCGATCTGATCCATCTCCGTAAACTTCTTGACAACCTGTTCCATGATCAGAAGGTGAGATCAGGTCAGGGGAGGGAGATAAAGGAGCAGGAGGGGGACGAGGGACAGGGGAAGGACGAGGACACGAAAAGCGGAGTTGGGGGATCTGACCCTTTGAGCCTCGATATCGTAGAAGTGAATTCCAACGCCGATCGCCATTCCTCCAAGGATGATCATGCTCTGTTGTGACCGAGAGAACTCCGCGAAGAGTGGAGCAGAGTTAGCGAAAGAGTCCTGTATGCCACCAGTCAGCAGCTGGAAGAGGAGAATGGGTGGGGATGGGGGGAGGTGGAGGAGGAGGTGGTAGTGGCGGTTTAGGATCAGACTATTACCGAGAGGATGAGCTCCGATCTGCCCGAGTAGCTCTCATACTTGAAGACGCGCAGAGTTCCGACCGATGACGTTGCCAGCCACAAGTCAGGATGGTTGGACGAGTAGCTCATGCTGCTTGTCTCTCAGTCTCAGCGGATCGGCACATGATAGGTGTACCTCAAGATCGCTCCCTCTTCGACAAACATGCAGGTGATAGCGTTCACTTCGTTCCTCTGCGGCTTCAAAGCCCTGACTCCTCCCTTTTGCAACCCGCAGAGGATGTAGTGCCCGGAGCTCGAGTAGCTGATGGCCTGCGCTGCGTCAGGCGCGACCTCTCAAGGAACATGGCACGAACAGTGATGGCCTCCTGGTCGATCAGAACAGCGTTGGACACGGAGCTCGTCGACCCCGTTAGAGCAAGTTCTCGCGCAACACCATCTGAGTATCCCGCGATGATGGAAGAGCCTGTCGGGGCTGAAAAGCTAGTCAGCAAGACTGAGTATCGTCAAGAAAAGTACAACACCGAACGCGATGCACAAGCATGGATGGCGGCTTCCATCGAAACTCTTGAGATGCTGAGCTCCCTTCACCGTCCACACCATCACTCTGCCGTCTGCAGCACAAGATGCCAGGAGCTCTCCATCGTCGCTGTACGCGACATCGAGGATCTCCTCGGAATGTCCGCTCTCGATCCTGGTGGGAGGGTCCTCGCCAAAGTGCCAGAGGGAACCGCAGGTGGTGGACGCCACCCCCTCGCTGCCCCGCTCGTCAAGGCTGAGGGATTTCGCGGGGCCGTCAAGATTGATCTGTCGGATCATCTGCCATGCGACCGAGTTGCTTGTCAGGCTGTCTATCGGTTTGCCCCACACGCGAATGTGCGGATGCTGCCCACACGTGTAAACTTTGTCTTGCCTTGAGAAGATGGACGTCAGCTCTCCCTGGCCTGTTTCCCACGTGTCGATCAACGCGTTCTGCTCAGAACTTGCAATCCACTGCGTCACGCATCCGTTTGCTGAGCCCACAAAGACGACGTTGTCCCCAGTCACATCCAGGCAGGTGTAGTGAACGTTTCCAGGATCGTCCCCTGGCGCAGTCAGCTCTTGCATGAGGAGGGTTGAATCTTCGTTCAGGAGCCAGAAAGTCACAAACTCATGACCCACAGAGACAAATTCGTTGAGACTTCTGCAAAACTTGACGTCGTGGATGACACGGTTGCAGTCGGAGGCAGCTACAATACTGCCCTTCATCACATTCCACACGACAATCCTCGGGTGCTCGCAATTCCCTACCGAGATCAATAAGGTGGAATCCCGGGACCATGCAAGGCTCTGTATGCTCTCTTGATGATAGTCCAGTCGCCTCACAGTCATACTGCTGTCATAGTCCCAGATGAAGATCGGAGCCGACGTCTTAGACCCAAGAGGGACGCCACTGCCTGTTGCGAGCCACTTTCCACCGGGCGAGAGGGCGATGCAGGAGATTTGTTCTTCATGCTCGTGCAGAACCTTCTGTTTGCGAGAGTGCAGGTCTTCAACGATGATGTTTGATCCGATGGCTGTGGTGAACATCCCAGCATCAGGGTGCCATAGCATGCAGTTGTGCATCTGCATGTATCCCGAAATATGCGACATCCTGATTCCTGCCTCATTCTCAGCTGCGACGTACTTGCGTTCTGCTCTCTTTGCTGGTCTTCTGGTCCCCGAGAAATGAATCAACGGCAGGAACATTTGACTCTGCTCTGCGCGCACTTCGTTGTCGATGAATGAGTAGCTGTTTTCAAGATTTTGGGAGCTCATACTGGCAGATGAGCTGAAATCCATGTTCATCGCTCGTTCCCTCAGTCGCTGCAATGGGCTGGGCTCTGAGAAGGCTTCTACGTTCGAGGTGTATTCGGCTGGTGCTGCAGCCTGGTCTTGGCCGTGGACTACAATCTGCTGTTTGAAACGAAGCAACTCTTCGAGGAGCGATTCTGTTTCTTCGCTCTGCTGTTCGGGCCACCGGGGTGGTGGAGTCTCCGGTCTATCCGAAGCTCCATCAAGCTGCTGTGACTCCGCAGTGACTTTCTCTGCAATCAAACGATCAATGTAGTCCGAGACGTCTTCTGCCGTATCCACCAGCAAGTCCCAGACCAAGATTCCCTTCCCGCTCCCGACGCTCACGACCTGTTTCTTGTCGGGTGTGAACAGAGCTCGATTGATTGGGGAAGAATGTCCGATGAAGCACTGGCATCTGGCCTCATGAGGCCCTTGTTTGCCTAGCGCCCACATCTTGAGAATCCCGTCATTGCCTCCAGTGAGCAAAAAATTTCCGTTGTCGCTGAAGTCCATTGTGTTCACGTTGTCCAAATGCAGGGGAGACGATTCCTGTACGATTCGACCCTCGTTGAGATCGTAGCTCTGCAGTCTGGAGTCCCTCGTCATGGCATAGACATAATTCTTGATTGGAGCAAACTTGACAAGCCTGATCCTTCGACCATTAGAAGGCATCTCCATGCATTTTTCCATGGAATCTGTGTTGTATATGATCAAACTCGCACTTCCAACGCCGATGGTCGCAATATACTTCCCATTCGGGCTGATCGAGAGGTCAATTTCGTCACCAGCGAATGCTGTAGAGATGCTTTTGATAGGCTGATAGTTTCGGACAGCGTCATACACACAAATTATGCCATCCTGTCCAGCAGAGAAGAGCTTTTCTCCATCCATTGTGAAGGAGATCGACAGGACCTTTGACCTGTGCTGCTTGTGCTCAAACAATTGGGAGGTACTCGCAATGTCGAAGATGCGAACTGCCCCATCCTCAAATCCACAGGCGATCAAATACTTCCGTGGATGGTAAGCAACGCAAAGAGCGTGTTCCCCTGGCGCCAGAAACTCATACAACTGCTCGAAGCTGTCTAGGTCCCAGGTCCTGATGGTTCCATCTGAAGCAGTCGTGGTGAACTCTCGATTGTGAGGATCCATGGCAAGGGCGAGCACCACGCTCTCGTGCGACCTGACGACAGTGCGATAACCGTGCGTTGGAACGTCCATGATCCCTATTGTTCCATTCGCTGTTCCAATAGCGATCCTCAGGCAATCAGAAGAAACCGCAAGTGCGTTGACTGGAGCTGCATGTTCTGCCTCCAGGAAGTAGTCAGAGAAGTCCAGAGGCCAGACTCTCAAGAATCTATCCTCTGAGCCTGTCACACAGAAACCGTCGGTAACCACGACGGAGTTGATGCTGTCATCGTGTAATCTGTAGATCTGATCAATATTCCTGTTGGTGAAATTGATCTGATACAATAATCCTGAGGCAGTGCAAGAGTAAATGCTGCGTGCAAATGTATCTACCCCGCCAAGAACTCCCTCGAAAGCGAGGTCCACGAAAACCTGGTTAGCGTGCGGTCCAAGGTGTAACACCATTCTCCTCACTTCGTACTTTTCACGCACGTTCTTGATCCTCCATATGTGTATATTACCGATACCACATGAGACAAGGCACGCTTCTTCAAACGGCACGAATCTCATTTTGTTCAAACTTGGTTCAAATGAATGCTCTACCAACTTCATGACATTCCCACCTTTGAGCACTTGGCTCACGTCCCACAAGATGACCAAGTTGTTGAAATTCTTAGTCGACCCCTTGCCCTCTTTCCCCACTGTTATCATCCAGTTTCCACTTAAGTTGAAGTCGATACACTGGACATCACTCGCATGGCCTCCGAAGACAGCCAAACATTCACCAGTCGACATCTCCCAAAGACGAACGAGAGGGTCTTTGCCTTCTTGACAACTTGCAAGTATACTTTCATCGGGAGACAATGCAATCACCGAGATTGGCGTTGTGTGACCAAGGAAGAATTTTTGGGAACCCGTATCAGGATTCATATGCACAATCTTTGCCGCACATGAATAAATTATGGATCGACAATCTCTCGTCCAAATCATGTTTCCAGTAGTCTTACTTGTGTATCCGATGCAAAATCGCAGATCCATTGCAGGCTCAGGCGAGAATGTTGTCGAAATTTTCTTCTTGGAATCCTGATCAGACGAAATGCTCGAGTTCAATTGCGGAATGCTAGTTTTTGGTCGAGGGTCCTTGGCATGTGCACGATTCAGGATAGAAGCTGTCTTGCCCCGTTTGATTTGAGATATCTGCTGAACACGCAGAGGCTCTCGACGAGCAGGCTCTTTTGCAGTAGCATCGTTGGGCTCTGTGCTGTTTCTCTCAGCTTTCTCTTTGTTGTCCAAGACCGGTAGCTGCAAAAAGTCTTGTGAGTCTGGTTCCTATAACAAAACTGAATCAGCCAGGTAGAAAAAAATCATGAGAGTAAAACCTGCAATAGTGGAAAAACAAAGTGCTTGGGAATCGTTTTCTTGGTGTAAACTGACTCCGATGTGAAGACATCTCTTACAAAAATGTTGGAACATATCTACATCAGCATTAAATGATGTTTCCTTAGGTAAAGATCATACAACCTGAATCGATTTGAGGCAATGGAAACGCCCGCACTTGTTGCGATTCAGCATTTCAACCAAGTCCACACACAAAGTTGTCCACTGATCATCAACGTTTTAGTGTCCGCAACAAACACATCATCATGTAACATTCATCACCTTTCCTGTCAGATGACAAGGATATTGAAGTACATTTCCAATGACTTTGCATTCTTTGAAGAGATTTGTAATCGAGATATCGAGCACTCTTTCATCGGCGGTCGTCACATACAAGTGCAGGATGTAAAATCTGTCGGGTATAGCTCGCAACTGAATATACACATACCGACCAGTCAATTGTAGAGACTGGTTCGCCTTCAATGGTATTCTGAGATAGTTGGCAGCCAACACATTCCCTACAATACGGTAAACTTTCTTGCCAATGATCTTGTCCATGACAGTCTCAACATTTCCTTCCCTGCAAACTCGCATCAACAACCTCAATGGAGTCGCTTCTACTGATCACCTGAAGGACCCTCTTTCAGAGTCCACAGCGAAATGCTTGAATACATTCACGAAAGGGGATTGGCAGGTGGGAGGTTTCACTTCTGGTTCGGTTGTGGTACGTTTAGTGCTCATGATTCTGGTAAGCCTCTTTCCCTCGCCCTACACGGCAAACATTTTCCTGCAATCGGAACACATCAGTTCTCATGGAACTTTACTCTGGGTACTGCAGGGCTATCTTTGCTTCTAACTTCATTACACCCTCATATCTCTGCCCCCGGCAATCTTCGCTTGTCCATCATCTTCGTCTCTTCCCAGTTTATTGTACAGCACCTTGCTCCTCCTTCCCTCCCAAACAATATCCCTCCTGGCTCCACAATGGTTTTGTCCCTGCTGGATCTATGGCAATTTCCTCGCTCTGCTTTCTTCTTTCATGTTGCCTCTGCTATGGTTTTTCCGTGCTCCAATTGTCTCCCGCATTTTCTTTCCCTCCCTCCTCTCGTCTTCCCTCTCACTCTCTTCCCGTTTCCTCCTCTCCTCTCCTCTCCTCTCCTCTCCCCTCCCCTCCTCTCCTGATCCTTTCATCTCCTCTCCTCTCCTCCCCTCCCCTCCCCTCTCCTTTCCTCTCCTCCTCTTCTCCTCTTCTCCTTTCACCTCCCTCCCCTCCCCTCCTTCCATCTCCTCTCTCCTCTCCTCTCCTCCTCTCCCCTCTCCTCTCCTCCTCTCCCCTCCCCTCCCCTCCTTCCATCTCCTCTTTCCTATCCTCTCCTCTCCTCCTCTCCCCTCCCCTCCCCTCCCCTCCCCTCCCTTCATCTCCTCTCCTCTCCTCTCTTCTCCTTCCTCCTGTTTTTGGAAGGGCATCATTGTTGAAAGTTGGCGGGAAAGCCCTTGTAAAATCATACGGGTTGAGCGGGGATGAGGGGCCCCACCGGGGACGGGCAGATTGAAGAATGGTCAGGATACTGCCCGCGGAACACGTGGATGCAGGCGAGTCAGAGGGAGACCAGAGCGAAGATGTTGAAGAGGAGGAGATGGAGTACAGCGACGAAGAGGAGGAGATGGAGTACAGCGACGAAGAGGAGGAGATGGAGTACAGCGACGAAGATGAGGACGCCTCGAAGAGCGGGGAATCGCTGGAGGGGGAGGAATGGGCTGGCCCCGACGAAGAGAGCCAGGGCCTTGAGTATGAGAGTGGGCAATCGGAGGATCTGGATGGGTCTGAAGATGCCGAAGAGGATGACAACTCTGACGCATCTTATTGCGATTCCGATCTGGAGCAGGAGCCGGCTGACCATGATCTCCTCAAGTGCTCTTGGGGCAACCAGGTGTGGAATTGGAAGTTCTGCGACAAGCACATTGACGTCGACCAACGGGAATCGGACGGTTATGGGTTCAAGAAGACGATCGTGAACTGGCCTGAAACTCTGCACCATGCCGATCAAAGATCAGAGATGGACTGTTTGAAGCTGCTCTTTCCCTGGGATTTCTTCTTCGGTCAGGAGGAGACAGGGAGCTGTCTGGTCTGGACAAACGCGACTCTACCTGCGAACGCCGAGCCTTTCACGGTGACTGAAGTCTTGCAATTCATGGGGTCCTTGTACGCCAGGAGCATCCATCCCTACGGCAGAGCCCAAGACATGTGGAAGAGTTCAGGCCGAAAGTTGATCCCCTCTCTAGACCTTGAGAACAGGTTCGCAGTCAACCGCAAGCGGTTCGAGCTGTGGCAACAGCACCTGAGGTTCTGTCCTCCTGCTGCCGAGAGCACCGACGAGTATGAGCAGATCCGGCCGCTCATCGATGCGCTGAATGAGCTTCGAAAGCGGACGATCAGCGCTGGGACGGAGCTGTTTGTGGCAAAGATCCGGGCACCAAGGACGAGAATGGAGAAGGTGAGGGGAGGGTGGAGCAACACAGTTGCTCAGCAGCTGACATCTTCCTTGCAGTACTCTCATGGAAACCTCAGCGTTCCTCCGATGGACTTCGAGCTCAACATGCTGGGCGAATGTTCCAACGGGCTCGGGTTGAAGTTCGAGCTCTCGGCCCAGCCTACGACGTACTCTCACACAGAGTGCGTCCTGCGGCTGGCTGAGGAGCATCTCGATCGGGGTCAAATCATCTACAGCAACGTCGACTACGCTTCTGTCGCCCGCCCGCGCTCTCCTGGAACGGAACACGTTCTTCAACGGTGCAATCCGCAAGCGCCATGGTTTTCCCATGCGGTTCCTTCAGCATGCTGCATGGAGCGGGGAATATCCTCATGGAGAAACCAAGACGGTGGAGCTTCAGGTCGAGGTTGAGGGGAAGGAGAGACGAATCTACGGGCATGCATGGAAGAATGCGCAGCGGACGGGCGCGGGGGTCTTCAAATTGATCTCCACATTCAAAACGACGAGGGCAGAAAATTTGAACAGCGAGAAGAGGAGGAGGAAGATAGACCCGTTGACGGGGAGATGGCGGGAGGAGATTCAAGTGAGAGGACCCGATGGCATGATGGAGGCATACTTCAACGCGGCGATGATCATGCAGTCCCAGACACTTCTGAGTAAGGACATCCTTTGGATCCCCAGGACGCGGACGCCGGAGCCACTGCCCTTCAGGGTCCTGTGCAGCGTCCTGGGTCTGATCGAGGTGGACGCCTACAAGGTTTACAGCTCCTGCCAATCGTTCCACCGCAAGCTCAATCACTATGACTTCACCAGCAAGATCGCGATGCGGCTGATGAGGAAGGACCTTTGAGCGTGAGCATGCTCGGGGAGCAGACAAGTCTTTCAGGTGCTGCTGATGGCATTCCTAACGTGTACGACTCGATGTACCTGTCGTCAGACTCTTCCATGGCATGTATAGACTAGAAACTCGATTAGCTAAATCATATCCAACACCCCAACTCCATCCCTCCCTTGACCAACACGCTTTCTTGCACTGAAGTTCTGACAAGTTTGAGCGACATTCCCTCGGGAACATGCACTACATCTGACATAAAGACATGCAACTTGCGGGAAGGCACACGGGACGAGGAAGCAACGAGGGAGCCGACATTCAAGCAAGCTCAGCTCCCCTTCTGCGCTTCAAGCATCTGCTCCTTCAGCAACTCCTTATACTCGCGGATCCCCTAATGCACGATCAGACGAGAAAGCAGGGGCCGGGGGAGGGGGGATTGGTTGGCAGGAGCAGAAGTAAGAGGGATGCTAAAACGAATAAGAGCAGGGCCAGGGGCAGGGGCAGGGGCACCAGGAGGAGGAGGAGGAGGAGGAGGAGGAGGAGGAGGAGGAGGAGGAGGAGGAGGGTGGTCCCAACCTTGGTCCACTTTGTGACACCTTTCTCGCATACCCAAACTTCCTGCGCCACCTGCAGGAAACCTCAACACCGCCTCCTCCTATCTCGTCCCCTTACCTGATCGATCAGACGGAAGTCATGACTAATCAGGAGCAGGCCTCCTTGGAACTGCTTGATTCCCTCTACAGGCAGCCGGTCAGCACGGAAGATAAAGGAAGTTGTCATAGAAGGCAGCGCGAGGCAGAACGAGGAAGCGCAGGAAGGGCAGCAAGGCAGGGAGCAAGAAAGGCAGCAAGGGCGTGAGGACCTGCGAGTGCATCGATGGACTCCATGTCCAAGTGGTTCGTGGGCTCGTCAAGGAGGAGCATGTTGGGTGACATCAGCCAGAGCTCCGCCCAGACGACGCGGCGCTTCTGACCATCTGACATCTTTCTGGAGAGAGGAGGAAAAATGAGGAGGAGGAGGAGGAGGAGGAGGAGGAGGAGGAGGAGGAGGAGGAGGAAGGAAAGTGAGGAGGAGGAGGAGGGAGGAAAAAGAGGAGGAGGAGGAAGTGGTGGTGGTGGAGGAGGAGGAGGAAGAAGAAGTCTCTTTGCTGGCTTGCCTGATAGGCTCCATCTGCTGCTTTCCCGTCACCCCAAAGCGACCGACTGCTGTCCTCCAGTCCTGGACAAAGGATGTAAGGAAATGGACAAGGGAGAGAAGGAGGAGGAGAGAGCGATTGGGGGAAGAGTGAGATAGGAGGGAGAAGGAGAAGGGTCATCTCGAAGGCAGTACCTGCAGGTCTTTGAACTTTCCAGGGAAACGTTTCTGCCGAGGATAATCAGATGCAAGGGAAACCAGGAGGAGTGGAGTTGCCTGCATGTATTCTATAGGAGAGAGGTCGAGATCCAACTGTAGGAAGAAGAAATGGATGTCACTGGAGTTGGTGGAAGCAAGGATATAGGGAGTTCAGACTCAAAGAAGCAGAGATAAGCCAGACTGGCAGATAGTGCGGAACAGGGAGAGGGAGAGGGAGAGGGAGAGGGAGAGGGAGAGGGAGAGGGAGAGGGAGAGGGAGAGGAAGAGGGAGAGGAAAACGGAGAGAGAGTAGATCAAACTAAGTCTTGCCTTCTCTGCCATGTGCTGGTCGAAGACTCCAAGGCGGGTGCCATGTTTGATTGTTATGGATCCCTTGGAGGGATGGAGCCTCCCGCACCTGTGACGAGTGACAACCCACAACGACCAATAAGCTCAAGATGAATGAGTTTCTTCTTGCTGCTAATTGTAATTGTCGGTCTTTCTCCCTCCCTGTCGTCATTCTTGCGCTCCTTCCTCTCCCTTGCTGTCCTCCTTTCTCTCCCCTTTGATTTTCCCTACTTTCCCTGCCTCCTTCATTCCTCCAAACTCACATCAATTTCAAAAGGGTTGACTTCCCCGCGCCGTTGGGACCAACAAGGGCAACTCGAGAGTCCGAATCGATACCGATGTTGAGATTCTTCAGGAAAGTGTCATAGTAAGTATTTCAAGGCAAGTACCTCCTCGTTTTCTCCTTCCCCGCTCATTACTCTTTCACTCATTCCTCCTCTCTTTCCCCTCCTCACCTCATACAGGTAGTCTTCGGGCTTGCCAGAGTAGGAGAAGGCAACGTCGGTGAAGGCGATGACGGGAGGGACGAGCTTGTCACACTGTGGGAATTCGATCTTGATCTTCTTGTCCGTCACCACAGGCTGAATCAAACCATCCTGCCACCTCTCGTCAGCAACTTCATGTCACGTGCGATGCTCCGGGAAAAAAAGCAGCAGGTAAGCAAGTGTTGACCTCCTCCATCTTGTCCAAGACCTTCTGACGTGACTTGGCCTGCCTTACAAGATTCGCGTAGGTGCCTGAGGATGCGATGAGACGCTGGAAATGGATTTGGGAGAAGCCATCAGACCGCAAGACGCAATGAACTCTTTCATGTGTTTGATTTCATCCTGCTGTTTATAGTAGAGCTTCATCTGTAGCAAATCTCATGAGACCAGCAGTGCAAGTGGGCAAACAAGGTCCAGAAGTGAAGTGAAGTGAGTGAGTGAGTGAGTGAGTGAGTGAATGAGAAAGGGAGGGTAGAAGGGAGGGAAGAAGGGAGGGAGGGAGGGAGGTTAATGACAAGATCTCATACCTGATTTGCCTCTTGCTCAGTCTTTGTTTTCACAAACTGAACAAAACGTCTGTCAAGTACCGGCCCGAGAACCCCAAAGTATTTTCACCTGATCGTAGTTTCCAGTCCAATACGTGAGTTTCATCTGGCGCAGCTCCATGATATTGGTGCACACTCCGTTCAAGAAATCCTGAGAGAGGAGTGGAGATCAGCACATCAAATCAAACGGAGTCTTCATGCCTGAGAATGACTAGTGACGACCAAGATGGAATCATAACGGGACAGATAGTCTTCCTGGCATGCGGGTCAGCCCAAAAGACCTTTGAATCTTTCCATGCAACAAACAAATTTTTCTGAGCTTGCCTCCACTCAAAACCTCTCCCTTCATTTTTTATCGCAAAAAGACCGTAACCCGATCCGTGTCCACATTCACAGTCTAAGCCTAACATGACCTTTCTCTCCACCTCGTCTCTCTCGTTCTCGTCGTTGCTCACCAGCCACACAACAGATCCCAAGTCAAGATGGTTTGTCGGCTCATCGAGCAGGAGGATCGATGGCCGCACAAACAGAGCTTCAGCAAGCGCAACTCGCATCCTCCACCTGCCAACATGTCTCAGCCCGGTCGAACCACACCCGCCAGATGATCACCCGCCCGACATGTCCTTGGTCTGTTTTGCCATGCGTTCGGCATCAAATCCAAGGCCCTGCAGCACAGCAGGCAGGCACCATGGTGATCAGAAACACAGACAACTTGCAAGCATCCATCGTACCGCCAGCAGTTTCCCAGCTCTGACTTTGAGGGTGGCAGGCCCGATCGAGTCGATGCGGTCGTAGATGTGCTGCAGTTCATCTGCAACAGGAAGCAGGAGGTGAGCAGGAAATCCCCCACCGCCTCGTCCACCAGCACCTGCATCTGGGCCATGCTGCTCGATGATGACCTCGACCTTCTTCTCAAGGCGGTTCACCTCATGCTCAGCAGCCGCCACGACGTACTCCAGTGCCGACATGTTGGTAGATTTCGCCTCCTCTGACAGGATGAAGATGTCGTGAAACTCGGGGATCGGAACCAGCCGGGCAGCCAGGGCCTTGAGGAAAGAAGTCTTCCCCACACCATTGGCTCCCAGCAAACCATATCTCCTTCCGTAGTTCAATTCTATGGTGGTGTCTTGAATCAAAACCTGGAAGCAGATCAGAGTCTGCCAATCTTTACTATCTCTTACCTTGCCGTACACTTCTAGGGAGAAGCTTCCGATCTTGATGTCCCTCGAGCCTTCATGGCTTTCAAGGTTCCCTGTTACCACAGGGAGGGTGTCATCTAGCAGAGCCTTCTTCAGATCCGAGACATCGAGATTCTCTGAGGCCTTTGGTAGGAGGAGTGTCTTAGAGACTTAACACAAGTGTTGAGATAGAGCTCTCACCTGCTTCGCATCAGCCTTCTTGGCTGCCGGGGGACCCTTTGGTTTCCCCTTGTTCTTCTTCGGCCCACCTCCTCTCAGTCCCAGAGAATAGGCCGGTCTATGAGCATGAAAATGTTCCAAGTGCTTCAATGAGAAATGCCTTGCCTGCATATTCCACGTTACCCCTTTTCTCCCTCCAATGGTCGCAGACACCTGCACAGCCGCATCGCCGGCAGGGATCCCTGCAAGTAGGGCAGGGCAAGAGCACAAGATGGCAAGCACGGAGATCTTGAAGAAGACATTGGTCCTGATGTTGGAGAGGACAGAGCAAGGGAAGCATGGGGAATCAGCCATGCCTCGTGCTTCTGCGCTCCTCTTCCTCGTTACCCCCATCCTCAATTCACTGCATGGATCCGATCGGCCCCCTGGCAAAAAGACCCATCCGTTATGTGATAACCGTCTTTTGCACTATCACGTAACCGACATTGAAACGGTAGTCGGGTAGCCACAACAAACATGGCGAGGAGAACGGCGCTTGTGCTCGGGGGATGGTCTGATGGCCCATTGACTGCCGTCATGCAGGCATGCCGCTCATCGTGCGACTTCTACCAGCTGCCTATGCACACCCCACCTGTTGGTCTAATGTGCTGGTTCAATCCTTACCTTGCCGTGATCGTAGCGTTCGTGGTGTTGGTTTCTTGGATGCTCACCATGATCAAAGGCCAGGATTTGAGCTCTGTTGAGAAGATATTCTCGTACTTAGCTGTCTGTGTTGGAACAATCTTTGTTCTGAGAGTGTTGATTTCACTGTTTGTGAGATACTCTATCAGGCGGTGCATTGCAGCAGCTTCATTATATCTCCGAGAAAACCCTTGTGATGTTGTGGTTGGTTTCAGCTGGGGAGGAGGGATTGCTTGCTGGCTTCTCTCGGAAAAGATCTGGAATGGGCCAACGTTGATTCTTGCACCGACAATTCAGGCCATGGCGAAGTTTGCATGGATCCCTCTGCCTGCATTCTCTGCGTCGCCGTCAATTGTGCACGTCTTCCATGCAAACGGCGATCCCTTCTGCCCGGAGTATCAACTGACGCACTTGAGGAGCTCGGGCTCTTCTATCCATGTCTGTGACGACAGCCATGTCTTTCAGACAAGAGATTCCGAGAGAGAGATCGTCGCAACCTTCCGGCAAGTCTTGCAGGAGGTCCAGTAGGTCGGCAAGCGAAGGGTTTTGTTTCCTAACCGGTCAAAAGACTGCATTATGCATCTCTACATGGAGCGAAGCGCCCATCATCAGGTCATGAGGCTTAAAAAGGGAATGGGGCAGCAGGGAATCTCTCCAACAAACTCCTTGCTGCACGAGCAAACACGCCTCGTGCGAGCTCTAGCTCGGCTTCTTACAAGCTTCTGCTCCTCTTCTTAGTCCTTTTGAGAGTGCTTGGTCTGACTTTTGGAGATCAAGGCTAAGCCCTGAGCCTTGAGTGCTGTCCCGTCCGGTTTGCTAGGGCTCTGATACGAAGCCAAGAGGTAAGGCGTTGTACTTCAGTACCCCTTGAAGGCTTCTTCGGCAAGGTCTGCTTGGAGTGGAGTCTTGGACAAGGCAGCGTGATCAACGGGTCAATAACTTGACCAGCCTGGCGGACTTGCAGGAGCAGACTGTGAAACAGATCTGTGATCAGGCAACATGTGGTGTGAACCCTTTACTTGTCTGTACAACAATACATGGAACTGAATATCATGCCATGATGCTGATGTATCTACGACATGGATTAGACTCGAAGCCTGAGCCGGGGTGATCAGGCTGGCAACTTGAAGGCTGCCCCCGGCCCTAGCAGAAGTCAGGAAAATTACGCCGTGTGGTATACTGGCAAGCCTAAACTGGCATATCTGTACCAGTCGTGGCAGCGGCCCGGCCGGTCCTAAGCGAGTGATGGCGGCACCCGGCCCTCGCCCGGTGAGAGCGGCGTTCCGAAGTTCAACGTTGAAGGCCGGCCGGGCCACCGGCCCCGGCGGCGAATCATTGATCATCAGTGCGGCAGCGAATGACTGCGAATGACTCGGGAGTCGTGGCAAGTGAGGGGAAGAGGGTCCTCGAGGACCAGGAACTCTATTTGAAAGGGTAGGGGTACTGTCAATCAATATTATCGGGGTGGGTACTTTAGTTTGAGATGTAAAGGGGTAGTGAGGTTTAGGGTTTAGTTGATGTGGTTGAGTATAGGAGTTTATCAATTAGTATCCATAATAGTAAAGTTCACATATATGATAACCCCCAAAGAAGTGATTCGCTCTTTTTCTTTCAGGGTGGGTAGTGATAAAGGTTGAATCGAGAAAATATGAGGGGGTAGTGGAAATGATTGGGTAGGGGTGCCTGCAGGGGGCGGAGGAAGCCTCGGCTGGTGGAAATGGCGCAGTTCCCAACGAAGATGGCGGAGATCTACGGGCGAATCATGGGCGACGTGATGGAAGAGTCAAGGAACAAGTTCATAGGACAAGGAATGGACACCAACGTGCTTTCTGAGCTCCAAAGGGTGAGGCCTGAATCATGATACGGCAGAAGAGAGGGAGATGGGGGGCAAGGGGTAAATTGTGTGGATCAGGCCTATTTGGAAGGATTGAGGAGACCTTGTAGGCGGTTTCAGCCTGGCTTCAAATACGACATCTTTGATAGTGTCTGAGAGGAGAGATGCAGTCGAGTTGCTGTTCGTTACCCATCCTTTGTCTGCCTTTGTCATTGTTGCTGAAAATGTCTCAACGATCATTTCAGTTCGATCGGTTTTTCCCGAACATCACGATGCTTTTGCATTTGACTATGCTAGTTGCATTGCCTATCATACCACGCAGAGTTATATGTTGCATGGTTGTGACTGTGACCATGAGATGATAAGGGCTCAATTCATCAAGCTGAATGCATTAGGGGGTCTGGTGCTTGCTAGGGCGCATTAGCAGCGTGCTCTCATAAAAAGAGAGCGAGTGTGAGGGCTTGACGAGTCAGATAAAGAAGTGCTGTTGTGGACCATTTATCCCCTGCCCCGTCTCTTTGCCGTCAAGACAGATTTGTTCTTCCTCCTTACTTTCCCTACCATGTTTATCAACCTCAGTGGATCTTCTGATTTCAAAACGTATGGTGATTGAGGCCCTGATGCTTGTTTGCAGCTATGGACTGAGAAGCTCAATGCGTATGGAACACATGTTCGAACAGATCTTGCCGGGGGCAGCATGCTGGGAGGGTATGTCGCCGCCTGCCCTCCTCTTATGCAGCATGATGCTCAGGGCTACCCGCTGGACATGCGGAGAGACACAGGCTTCCCGCAGACTGATGGAGCAGACACAAGCCTGCAAATCTTTTCAGAAAGCGCTGAGGATGAATCAAGTGAGGAGGGGGTGAGAAAAATCCTCATAGTGAGCGACCAGGGGTGATTAGCGTTCGTTTCAGGGGGCAAAGACGGGCAAGAGCTCGAGTGCAACGCGAGATCTGAAGGCTTGTACGATTGTCATTGAACAAACGGACGGGGCTGGGTCAAGCCCGATCAAGCGTCGACGGGTTGGCGAGGATGGAGAATCTGATGGCGGTATGAATGGAGCTGTACACTGGGAGACTTTCAGGTTTCTGAAGAGCTGGCAGACGATGACGAGGAGGAGGAGGGGGATGAGGGGGCGAATGAAGAAGAGGAGCTGGGGTCTGAGGACGATGACGATGACGAAGAAGATGATGTGGCGAACTCGACTCACAATCTAATACTGTGTCAGTATGAGAAGGTCGTGTACAATCGGTCAAGGTGCAATAGGATTTCTGATTGGAAATGTTGCAGGTGAGTCGGACAAAGAACAAATGGAAGGCACAACTCAAGTTTGGTGTGATGACACTGGCGATCAATGATGGCGGGCGTGTAAGAAAGCAGGTGTCCTCTGCACTTCTCCCCTCCTTTTCTCTCGTCTTGACCGCCTCGCAGGATTTTGTGTTCAAGAAGGGAAATTCTGATATGAATTTTTCAAGCTAAAATTTGTCGAAGCGTCCTCTGCTGCCCTCAGAAAGAACCTTGGGATGAGCTCTCGATTCTCAGCATCACAGTTTTCAGAATCCCAGGGCACTCCATGTTCCGTCAAGACATGCTTGACCTTAGCGGCGAATCCTCCAACAGATGTTTCTCAAATACGAAATTCTTGACACGGAGAAAGTTGAGAAATCTTAGCTTCTTTTCGAGCGCTCGTTCCATTGTAGGTCGAAAGATAAAGTTTGCAAGCCTCAGTCCATATTGGAGGACCTTGTCCTTTCTCTCTTCACTTGTCAAGAGCACGATACCCCTTTTGCGTTAGACGAGGAATAAGACGAAGTTGAAAAATATTGCATCTAACAACCCTCGTAGATGGACTCTTAATCGAAAATCACCATAAATCTTGAGACTGCTGTATACTACAACCTATTTACACTTGTGTCTTTCCTGCTGCTGTTCGCGGCCAAGTATCACTTGCGTTGAAAGAAAGACGTGATGGACATTTTCGGTTTCACCCGGCGATCACTCGAACACGTCTGAGGTGTTCTCTTGCCGCTGGTAGAATCTTCAGCCTGCGCAGATGTTTTGCTGAAAAACTTGTCGATTCCTTTGGCGCTTGAGTTGGAAAATGCGGAGGAGGAGGAGGCGCTGGAGCGGTGGGAGTTTATCCTCATGCTCAGACGAATCTCTTCCTGGATCTCCTTGGGCAGCTCCTTCAGGATATTCTCATCGATCTCGCTAGATGCGTAAAGAGATCCTTTCTTCCTCTCCTCCCGCGCTGCCTCGACCTCCTGCTTCTGCTGCTCAGGCGCCACCCCGCCAGGTTCACTCTGCGGCATCTGCTTCGGTGGGCGTTCAATGTCGTGGGACTGCGCTGTTGCGCCCTTGGCATCTTCATGCTCATCCCCTGCCGCGTCCTGAGATTTATCTTGGGACTTCCAAAAGTTGGTGATGAGTTTGTTCCCCTTAGGAAGATCCTGAAAGTTGGACGCAGAGACAAACATGGAGGCGATGGCAGGCCTTCTTCCTGTCGAGTACTCCTTTTTGACCGCATGGAACAGGTCGCTCACCATGCGGTCCAGCGAGTAAGGCTGCCGCAGTGAACAGCTTCGGGTCTTCTGGTTTTCACCGTCCTCACGAAACATGATTGTCATGTTTGTTGCGATTCTGCCCAGCCGTTCACGGTCCTTGACCAGCAGCTCGTACACCTGGCTCACGATCTCGCGCAGCCACTTCTCGATCTTTTCGAAATCGTTGAGGGCACCGAACTTGGAGCGGAGAAAGTCCTTACCTGCATCTCAAGTGAGCACAAGAGGAGGGAACAAGGAGGATGAAGGGCTCTTGCCTGATCCCCTTGACTTGGCCAATTCCTGATCCTTCACTGGCTGCAAGCAGATTCCCTTAGCGATCCGGTAGACCCACAGCCCCCCCGGCGGCTTCGGGCTGTCCCCGAACTTAGAGACAAGCAGCGGGCATGGAATTTTCTGCAGCTCCCCGACAGTCTCTACATGGAACTCTTCCTGGATCGCCTTTCCAAGCTTCTCCCCTCCCAGGCCCCTCAGGCGTGAGATCGGCAGGTCCTGCATCAGCTTCTGAGCAGCTTCCGTGGGAAGGATCGTCTGCTGGTTGGGCTTGTGCAGCCCCGAGCCCAACTTGGCCAGAATCTTGTTGTGAGAAATGCCGGCAGAGCATGTGAAGCTGGTTTCCTCCAGCACCGCTCGCCGCATCTTCGTCACCACCTGTGCTCCAGCAGCCAGCAGCCTCTCCGACGTCTTCCACCGCGATAGAGGCCTCCTCCACCACTCCTCCTGTCCGTTACCGCTGTCCGGGCATGCGGAGATAGAGCTATGGCCGTTCCTGACCTCCTCCTTGGACATAGTGACCAACGTCTGCTGCTCGTACCCCGCTACCCACGTCTTGTCCATCTCGTCGAGCAGCGTCGGCCCCACGTCCGCGCCGAAGTTCCGCTCGATCTCGTCCAGCTGCAGGAGAGCAGCATCGGTGATGTCACAGTACACCTCATCGATGGATGCTCGTTCGCATGCGGACGAGAAGCGGGCAAGCACGTTGACGACCTCGGCTCCTGCTTCCCGGTACAGGTTGATGTCGCTCTTCTTGTGCGCTACAGGGACCTGGATGAGGATCAGGTCAGGACACGCCTGTCTTGCTTCCTTCCCCCGCATGATTCGCTTCACCCCCTTGGCCCTGCCATGATGTTAGCAGGGTGCCCTGCAAGGCGAGCTGGCGACCTTGCTTCGTAACTCACGGCGATCAGACTGCCGTCGCTGTGATCGCACCTCCTGTTCTCGTCCGGCCTGACGTCCTGGAGGTCCCCGTTGGGGTTGTACTGTATGACGGCGACGGGCTTGCCTCGCAGACTCTCGTCCCTCCTCTGCTCCACTTGTACGTAAAAACAATCCATGTCGACGTGCGCCACGACTCTTCCCTCCATCTGCTGTATCAGAGCTTCTGTCGCCATGGCGCTGGTGAGAGCGTGAAGGAGTAGTAGACGAAGGGAGGAAGGGAGGAGATGTGATGGGGAGGTTAGGAGGTGAGGCAGGCGAGAGAGGAGCAAGTCGGGGAAAGGGCTTATGGGAGGGAGCCGTGCAGAGAAGTGGAGCGGGACAGAGGAAGGAAAGCAGGAGGATGTGAGAGAAGGAGGAGGGTCAGGAGGGTCAAGAACGGCAGAGCTGGCATGTCTCTCTCTCCTCGCAACGTGGCTGCATGGCACGGGAGAGAACGAGTGGCGGAATGAAAGCCGACATGCAAGGGAAAGGAGCAGGAAAGACAGCAACTATCGATTAGGACTGTACTCCTTTATCGCTCAAAAAGACAGCAAACCCATTCCAGAAAAGACATCAAAAATTTCCTACTCTTTCCACCTACTCTCTTTTTGCTGTCCTGCACTGGTCCTCAGCATGGCTGTTCGGGGCATGGGGAGAGGGAGGGGAATGGCAGGAGCGCTAGTGTGCGGCATGGCATGCTCGCTGCTCCTCCTCCTCTCGAGGCGATCTCATTCCTCTCTCGTAGACTCCCTCCGCTCCTCCGCACATGCTAGGAGCTCAGCAACGGCGCTACTTGACACGACGAGCTGCGGCAGGGGTGGACTGTGCGGGGTCCCGATATCGGTGGGAGACCTGCAGCTGGACAGATCAGGCGGTGGACAAGGTTCTGGGAGCGAGGGAGAAGGAACTTTGTCGGGAAATGTTGATGGGAGGTGAGTTCCCTTGTCCTCTTCTCCCCTCCTTCTCCTGATCAAAATTGTCCTGCCCCACAATGACCATGGTTTGCCTTGCGAACAGGTTTGTCTCGGGCAAGATCACGTACAAGAAGAAGCCTGGAGTTTTCATTCCTGCAGGGAAAAGAGCGAGGAGGAGACAGCAGACGCCAACGGTTCCTGGCGTGGACTCAGAGTACCAGAAGGCCATCAGCAACCTTGTCTCTAACCTGAGGACGAGGCAGCGCGGGGTGAGCAAGGAGGCGCAGAACATAGCCAAGGGCGTGACCAGCATGTTCACCAGCGACTCGGTGACGCAGAGCATTGCGAACTTAGCGTTAGGCATCGCTGAGGCGCGGGCGAGAGAGGAGGATGGGAATGAGTTCCTGGGGAAGGCAGCGGTCAGCACCAGCGGACTGCATGCAGCAAAGTCCCCGAGCGCTCGGACAGGAGAGGACTGGAGGGACGCGATGAGCATGTGGAGGAAGCAGGGGATCATGAACAAGAAGTTCCGTAGCGACGTCAAGCATCCCAGCCGTCTTGACCCCAGCTCCGGGCTGACTCAAATGGAGCTCAAGACTGTAGAGGAGAACCCAGCGTCAGGAGCGAGCGGGCCGGAGGCAGGAGAGTTCGCCGAGTCTTCTTGTGCCGCCTGCCTGGTCTGTCCAGGTCCTCTCCTCCTCCTTCCTTGTCCCCGTGCTGACCTCACCGTCCAGGTTGCTGCGACAACGGCTGGGTCCCGGGCTGCCAGGGAGCGGTGCTGCTGCGGAACGTGACCATGGCGGCGCGGATCAGTGACGCTCTCAACTATGTGATCGACCCCAAGGATGCAGCGGGGATCGATCAGCGGCTCTCCTCGCAGTACCAGTCCACCTTGAGCTCCTTCCTGGCGAGCAGGGAAGCAAGCGAGCAACGAGCGGCGGAGGCCAAGCTTGAGGACAGCGAGCACTACCAGGAGATCATGAGAGATAGAAAGCGGCGGCTGCTGAAGCGGAAGATCCGTGAGCAGGAGAGGAAGGCAAGGTTGATGCCCTTGGAGTCGATCGCAGAATCGTCTTCTGCTCCCCTGGACGACCCTTGGTCTCAGTACTATGCGTTTCAGGGAGTGCTGGGCAACAACCCCTCCGACAGCAAGGGCAAGAAGTGAGAGCGTGCGACCGCCAATGGCGTGAAAAGAGACTTTCTGCATTGAGAATCATGCATGATGTGCCATAGAATGGGAGGAGAGCTTTTGTTTTCCCTCTCTTCATTTCTCCCTTGTGGAGGAATCTTCGATTATTCATTCCTGCTGCTGTCAAAGGGAATTTGTTGCAAGCGAGGGAATCTCAGGCGGTAGATCGGCTGCCCGGCAAGCACATACTTCCGCTCGAAGTTGCTAATCGCTTTCTCTAAGTTTTTCCCGAATTGCAAAGGTTCAATCTGTCGTGAAAACAATCAGATCAAGAACCTCTCAGCCAACTCTCTCTGATAAGTTCTTCCTCACCACAGCATCCTTCACCCCTCCTATCTCCTCTGCTGCAATCGCCATCTCCTCTAGGTACGTCCGCCAGCTTGCCCGGACCTGCACGGCCGTTGAGGGAACAGCCTGCGACTCATCGTCGCTCACCTCAATCTCTCCCCCCATCTTCAGGAGGATCGGGAAAGCTGGGGAACCGTGCCAACGTAGAAAGTGCTGCCCTGGCTTCGGGTACGGGTTTGGGTACAAGATGAAATGGCGGTCGATTTTCCACCCTGCTTGCCAGATGAGTCTCCAGAAGTCGATGCAGTTTGCCCGCACGAGGATCTTGAAGTACACGTCAGCAGTTTCGAAGTGCCGGAGGAGGAGGTAGCTCGGATGGAGGGTAACGGGGCAGAAATGGAGGGAAGGAGAGAGGGAAGAGAAGGATGGGGATCGGAGGCAGAGAAAGGGAGCAGGAACGCTGTAGAGTGAGGTAGAAAAAGCCAAGGAGGAGGAGGAGGAGGAGGAGGAGGAGGAGAGCCAGGATACAGGGATGGAGGAATAGGAAGGCAGCACGGAGGTAGGGAGAGGAGGTGAAGGAAGGAAGAGAAGAGGAGGGAGGAGAAGAAAAGCAAAGTTCACCATGTTCTCTGCCGGCCCGTTGCTGGACTCACGGAAGATTCGGTTTCTATTCAGCCGCACCTCGCTCTTATCCACTCCTACCACAAAGGACGTCGGGTTCTCCCGCGCAAGGTTGTAAGTGCTCCTCCCTGTCCCACAGCACGAGTCGATGATGATGGGAGGCTCCCCGCCTGCCTCCCTGCTGAACGCAGCGTACGCGCGCTCTGCCTCCTTGAAGGCGTCAAGGTTGAAGGGGGCGATCCCCTTGTGGTTGAGGAACTTGTACAGGTACTGCTCGTTCTTCCTTGCAAGCTCCCTCGTCATCTCGTGCGGCTCGCATTCGTCGATCCAGTAGATGGGATGACGCTCCTGTGGCCCTGCCGGCGCCTCTGTCTGCTGGCTCTTCAGCACCGTAGCCCCTGTTGCCCTCGCCATGTTCCTCCTCCCGCTCACCCTCTCGCCCCCTGACCCTCTCGCGCTCCCCCAGTATGTCCTTGCAAGCCCTCCGACCAGGAAGGCATCCGAGAAGTGAACGTGAGCGACAAGGCTGAGAGCGATAAGAACACAACGCGACATGTCGATCGATCAAGCTCACGGCAGGGGTCGCAACACCCCCGTGACTACCTCCTCACGTCCTCACAAACACTCGTATCAGACTGCTGAGATGACTCACTGCTGCCTGCTCCTCCTCCTCTAGCTCCTCGTCTGCTCCTCCACCTCTAGCTCCTCGTCTGCTCCTCTACTCGTCTGCTCCCTCTCTATCCTCCCATAGCAGCTCGCATTCCGTCTCGCCCTGGCATGGCGATCCAGTGGCGATCGGCCCCCGAAACAATCGAGCCCGCCTCACTGGGACGCTCCATGGCTGGGTGAGGGAAACGGATGAGGGGAATGAGGATGGCGAGGGAAGGGAAGAGGAAGAGGAGGAGGGAGAGGAGGAGGAGGACTGAGGAGGACGAGGACGGGAGGGGCAGAGGGGGTTCGGGAGGGGAAGGGTACATGCGTATGGGGTATGTTGGGGAGGGATCGTGAGAGAGGGAGGAAGTGCGTTAGTTCGTCTGATGATTGATTCCAGTGCGGGGAGAAGCGAGGGGGAGGGAGGCAGCAAGGAGGACATTCGGCTCCTTGTGCATAGCGACGGATGCCCTCCCTTCCTATGTGTCGTCTCGTCATCCTCCACCATCGACGCCCTCCACCGAGAGATCAGCAAGCTCCACCGAGAGCTATTCGCCGGCTCCGACATCCCCTCGCTGAGGATCCGATGGGTGGAGGACAGCCAGAGGCACGCGCTGCCTCTCAACGGGAGGATAGGCTTCCTGCTCAAGGACGAGGACAAGGTATACGTATGCTCGGGGATCGACCCCTTGCGAGAGGACATCCACTACGGTATGAGACAGGGCGATAGCGTCAAGAGCGTCATAGCGCGATGGCGCAACTGCTGCCTGGACACTGCGAGCTTCCTCTGTGCTGCTGCACACCAGGAGGCGAAACATGGCGAGATCATAGAGCAGGATGGCATCTCCGTCCTCCTGAGCCTCGCCCTCCACACAGGGAACATGCTCCCTGGTGACGTCTCCATCCAGGACCTCCATGGCGCCCTCAGGAGCCTCTTGGAGCTTGAGGATGCGGCGGACAGAATCCTTCAGTCAGGATGCGAGGGTCAGATCTTTGCCCTCCTTCAGTCTCCTGACCCGGAGCTTTCGGCCCTTGCTGCCTTCATCTGCTCGAGAATGGCTGCAAACGCCACCAGCCACGACGCCTTCCTGTCCTGGTCCGCTCCTCTCCGTCTCTCCAAAGCCGTCCAGCTCTCCGGCAACTCCACGACCCGGCTGGATGCCATGACCTGCATCCGCCTCCTCAGCAAGAACCCCCGATGCCTCCCCTCCCTCCGCAGCAGCGCCGTCCTCCCCATCATCGTAGATGCTGCAGAGGACCTGAAGGACGGGAGGACCTGTGCCAAGGCCCTGGGAACCATCGCCTCCCTCCTTGAGATCGGCGGAGAGAGCATACGGACCCAACTAGAGGGCCTTTCAGCTCCTCGCGTGATCTCTCGCGCTCTGTCGTCCCCCGACAGGAACGTCGCTCGTGCCGCCGCTGCAGCTCAGGCGGCGCTGCTGGGACATGCTACCATCAGGATCCCGCTGGGGGAGGACGGAGGGCTCTCGAAGGAGAGGAGCGTTGCTACACCTGCCCTGTGGACTTCGGCATCGCAGGCGCACCGGGGGGAGGAGGGAGGAGGGAGCGCAGGGCGGAGCGCGTTCGACAAGTTTGCAGAGGAGGTGCTGCTGTCGTTGCGACCGGCAGGAGGAGGCTGACAGCATGCGTAGATGTCCTCGTCGCTCACAGGAGGAGGAGGGGAGGACCTGGTGACGGACAGCAACATCGAGATGATGAGGAGGATGATGGCGCAGGACGATTTGGAGCTGAGGAGGAGAGCGAGTTCGCTCCTCCTCTCCCTCTGCAAGGTCTTCCCTGTGATGACGTCATCAGTTTGTGACGGTCGATGCAGGCGGGGGAAAGGTGCAGGTTTCAGCTGGTGGACAAGGACGGGATCTCGTTGCTGAGCAGAGCCATTACCTCCAAGGATCCGAAGATGCAGCTCAATGCTGTGAGTTATCCCACCCCCAATCCCGTCCCGATCGCCTACCTCCGTCCATCTTCGGATCCTCTTCCCCATGTTCCTCCTCCTCTTCCTCTGTATCTTTCGCGTCTTCTCGATTCTCGCACTTACGCTCTTGCCACCTCCTCCTCATTCTGTACCAAGGTCGGCCTTCTCCTCTTATCCGCCTCTTGTCACTTTCCTCCTCCTCTCTTCGTCTCACTTGGCACCACAGCTCACGTCCCTCGCCTGTCTGTCCAACGTGTCTGCCCTCCACCAGGCTCTGGTCGACCACGACGTCCCTACCTCCATCCTCCACTTCCTCTCCAGGTAGTGCTCCTCTCCCCACTCCACGTCTCCTTCCTCCTGCCCTGCCCTTTTGCTCCCAACCGCTCCTCCCCTGCCCTGCCTCCTCTCACTTGCGCTCAGCGAGGACGAAGGGTTGAAGGTGCAGGCGATGAAAACTTTGTCCCACCTTGCCGCTCACAAACGAGCCAAAGAGAAGATCTTACAGGACAAGCACGTCCTCTCCCTCCTTCAGTCCGCCAAGACCGCCAGCCCGCACGACGCTTTCTTCCTTTACCTCAGCATCCTCAAACGACACGTGGAGGCAGGGAAGGAGAGGTGACGCCCGACTGGGTTGTAAATGTTTGTAAACTACATCGGAAAGACTTCAAGTTCGCCGCTTCCTCTCTCCCTCCCTCCTCCCTCCCATTATCCTCCACTTCTGCTACTTGCCACAGTTCACTTCCGACACCTTCAGGTCTCCTTCCCACTGAGCACGCACGCCCCCCGCGTCACATCCGATCGGCTGCAGATCAAGTCAGACAAGGAGGCAGAGAGTCAGAAACTAAGAGTAGAGAGTTGGGGGAGGGAGAGAGGAGACGAAGTAGAGGAGAAGCCGTGGAGAAGGGAGTAGGAAAGAGAAACGAGAGGAATAAGGGCAAGACTGACCAATCCTTGGACAGTGACGTGGTAAGAGTCGGGATCTCCTTCTTCCTCCTCGGCAATGTTCGTCTGTATCGGTGGTTCAGTGCTGGAGACGCAAGAGGAGGAGGGGGAAGTAATGGAGGAGGTGGACCAGCAAGAGATGAGGAGGAGAGGTGCGAATGGCAGAGCAAGATGACGATGGCGGAGGAGCGCAGTAAAGGGGAGGAGGACGATGATGAAAATGAAGATAAGGAGATGGGAAATGATGATCAAGATGATGATAGCGTCGACGAGGAAGAGCAAGAGGAAGAGCAAGAGGACGAGGAAGATGAAGATAAGGAGGAGGAGGAGGAGGAGGAGGAGGAGCTGGATGTTCAACGTACTTCAGTAGAGAGATGGCTGGCTGACGCCCATGGTTGCTCGACAACCACCGCAGAATCCTGCAGAAGAAAGCAGTGAGACAAGAAGGAGAAAGTAGAGGGAAGAAGAGAGTTGATGTGATGAGAATGAGAGGGAGTGAGAGCAGAAGGCTGTTGGAGAGAAGAAGGGGCTGGAGGTTGCAAGAAGAGAAACATCGACTTTACCTTGGAAAATTTCATGGCGTATCGCATGAAAGGGTCATCCGTTTGCCGCAGTCTGAAAGAAAGATCAACGCAAGTGAAGAAGCCGTAGAGGTGGGGAGACAGAGGCGGGGCAGATGAAGCAGAGGAGGAGGAAGGGTGGGGGGAGGGGGGACGAGGAAGAGGAGAGAGGAGGAGGAGGAGGAGGAGGAGGAGAGAGTTGGAGGAGGAGGAGGAGGAGGGGGAGGAGGAGAAATCAACCTGCTTCTGCGCTTCTCCGGTTTCGTGAGTCCCAGCACCTTCTCACATCGTTACGCTGGGATCCCGAGGAGCGAGAAACAAGAAGTCTTCACCCTAGAGGATGCGGCTGGAGCAGCGGAGGACGATACCACTGTCCTCTCCTCCTCACCGCCTCCCTCCTGAGACGGCATCCTCTCTGTGTACAGCACATCGTAGCTCTCGTCATCCTGGCAACGTCTTTTGGTTACGACACAGGAGAAGGAGGGGAGAGCAAAGGAGATGTCAGTACATTAGCACCGTCGTCGTCGTAGCCCTTGAAGGCTACTTGGCTTCCAGCCTACGTAGCAAGTCAGTCGACGAATCCCACCACTCGTTCGCTGCTCTCCTCTCCGCACCTCCCCCTCGCTCAGTCATCCTCCAATCCCTCCCCTCTCTAACGCACTCCCTTCCTCTCTCCTGGTCTCTGTCTCCCCTCCCCCCATCAAGATCTTTTACCTGCCTATCAAACAGGATATTTGCCCTCCTGTCAGCCCCCGAGTACCCCAGGAAGGAGCTCCGATCGTAGGTAGGGACACCAACGATCTTCCCGTCCTCGTAGATCTTTTTCCCGTCCCATGACGTGTGCGGCTGGAACTGATCGATGACCTTCTGCAACGTTCGCCCGTAGTTGTGCTCCTTTGCTCCTGCTACTTCCTCCCCCCAGTCGTCCTTCCTCCTCGTGGGCTGGGTCCAGTCGTCCAGCCCTGCTGGCGTATGCCAGAATCTCGTCAGCTCTTGAGGGACCACCCGGTGGACGCAGTGCTTCACCCTAGAGGGCTCCTGCTGCTCTCCTCCTACAACAACCTCATCGCACAGGTCGAGAGCATCGTTGGCCATGGTCTGAAGGCGCTCGTCGCTGTCATGCCATCCCTTAGGCTCGTCTTCGTCCTCGTCCTTGAGAGCATCGCCCCAGAAGAGACGAGACTGCTGCAGGCCACCTGCTGGGACCACAGGAGGCCGCTGCTGCAGGCCGACAAGAGCGGTTCTTGGATGTGACGGGAAGGTGAGGAAAACGAGGAGGAGCGAGGCAACCAGCGGAATCCCAACAAGGAGGGGAAGGGAAGGTGAGGGTCTTGTCATCTGCACCCGGTTGTCTTCACTAGCTAGAAACGTCTCCTGCCTGCGCAAACCATTAAGATTAAAAAATCCCTCCCAACATTATTGCAGGCTGCGAAAAGATGAATCACTCCCAGTCCCTGTCCCTGTCCCTCATCTTGCTGCCTCTTCCTCCTTCTCTTTTCCTCTTCTCCTCTCCTCTCCTCTCCTCCTCTCCTCTCCTTTCTTCCTCTCCTCTCCTTCTCTTCTCCTCTCCTCTCCTTCTCTCCTCCTGTCCTCCTGTCCTCCTGTCCTCCTCTCCTCTCCTTCTCTCCTCCTGTCCTCCTGTCCTCCTGTCCTCCTGTCCTCTCCTCCTGTCCTGTCCTCCTGTCCTCCTGTCCTCCTGTCCTCCTGTCCTCCTGTCCTCCTGTCCTCTCCTCCTCTCCTCCTCTCCTCTACCACCTAGCTTCGCTACCACAGCCAACTAACCTGCATGAAGAGGCGGAGGAAACAGCAATTTTGGGGGTGGGGTATTTTCAATTGGATTAGAGGGGTACTTGAATACATAGGGGTGATTGTTGTGGAAAAGGACGGGGTAGGG